GAGATCAATAATGAGTCAAAAGATTAAATCAATAATAAAAAGGCTCCTAAGAAAGAACTAGATAGCTTCACTGCTGAATTCTACCAAACTTTTAAAGAAGAACTAATACTAAGTTCTTCTCAAAACTATTCCAGAAAACTGAAGGGAATATTTACATATTCATTCTTAAGGCCAGTATTACTCTTGACACTAAAAATGAGAGAGAGAGAGAGAGAGAGAGAGAGAGAGAGAGAGAGAGAGAGAGAGAGAAAGTGCAGACTAATATCACTGATGAACACAAATACAAAATATCCTTACCGACATACTAGCAAACTGAATCCAATATCACATCAGAAGGACTAAACACATGACCAAGTGGGACTTACCCCAAGGATGCAAGGACAGTTCAATATATGAAAATCAATAAACATGATAAATCACATTAATAGAATCAAGGATTAAAACACATATGATCATCTCAACATATGCAGAAAATGCATTTGATAAAATTCAACATCCCTTCATGATAAAAATTCAAGATTTGGAACAAGAATGTCAATTTTTTCTTTTGAAAAAAAATTTTTTAAATTTGTTTTAATTAGTTATACATGACAGTAGAATGCATTTATGCACTTTGATATATCACACATAGATGGGGTATAATTTTTCATTTTTCTGATTGAACATGTTGTAGAATCACATAGGTCATTCAGTCATATATATACATAAATTAATATGTCTGTTCCATTCTACTCTCCTTCCTATCCCCATATCCCTTCTCCTCCCCTCTCTTCACTCTTGCTCCACCTAACCTAAGGTAACTATTCCTCCCTAGTGCCCTGCCCCCCATTGTAAATTAGCATCTGCATATCAAAGAAAACATTCAGCCTTTGGTTTTTTGGGACTGGCTTATTACATTTAGCATCATATTCTCCAACTCCATCCATTTACTGGCAAATGCCATAATTTAATTCTTCTTTAAAGCTAAGTAATATTCCATTGAAAAAACATACTAGCAAACTGAATCCAGTATCACATACACACACACACACACACACACCACATTTTCTTTATCCATTCATCTACTGAAGGACACCTAGGTTGGTTCCAGAGTTTAGCTATTATGAATTGAGCTGCTATAAACATTGATGTGGCTGCGTCACTATAGTATGCTGACTTTAAGTAAAAAGAATGTCAATTTTTGCCACGTTTATTCAATATAGTACTGGAGTCCTAACCAAAGCAATTAAGTAAGAGGGAAAAATAAAGCACTTCTTGGGCTAGGATTGTAGTCAGTGGTAGAGCGCTTGCCCCGTACACATGAGGCCCTGGGTTCTATCCTCAGCACCACATAAAAACAAATAAATAAAAATAAAGATATGGTGTCCATCTACAACTAAAAAAATGTTTAAAAAAAAAAAAAGAAACAAACAAAGCACATCTTAACTGGAAAGGAAGAATTAAAAAAATTCCTATTTGCATATATTATCATAAATATTGAAAGGCCCAAAGACTCCACCAAAAAACTGTTACAACTGATAAAATCCATAAAGTAGCAGAACATAAAATCAACATATAAAAATCAGTAGTATTTCTACATGCCAAGAGTGAACTGAAAAAGAAAATAAATAGTTTATAATAGCAAAAGAAAAAATTACATAAAAATAAACTTAATCAGAGAGGTAAAAGATCTTTTTCATGAGAACTGTAAACCACTTATGAAATATGATGAAAACACAAAAAAAATGAAAAGATACTCCTGTTTGTGCATTGGAAGAACTGTTAAAATGTCCATAATAATCAAAGTGATCTAGAGATTCAATACAATTCATACCAAAATACCAAAATGATATTCACCACAAACACCAAAAACAGACTATTTGTATGGAATCATAAGAAACTTCAAGTAACCAAAGCAAATTTAAGCAAAAAGAACAAAACCAGGGGCTGGGATTATGGCTCAGTGGTAAAGTGCTCACCTAGCATGTGTGACACTGGGTTCAATTATTAGCATCACACATAAATAAATTAAATAAATCACACATAGACAACTGAAAAAAAAAACAAAAAAAAAACAAAGGTATTACAATACTTAACTTCAAAATATACTGTAGCCAAGTACGGTGGTAGGCATTTATAGTACTGAAAACTAATTTGGAAGCTGAGATGGGAGAAATGTTGAACTAGAACAGTGCTAGGGGGTGGATGGATATAATCAACACATGCTGAATATATGTATGAAAATATCACAGTGAATCCTGTTATTCTGTACAGTAATGTTTTAACTAATTATGAACTAGGAGTATGGCTCAGTGGTACAGCATCAGCTTAATGCACACACAAGGCCCTGGGTTCAATATCTAGCACAGAAAACACAAACACATACACATACCCCAAAGCTATAATAACCAAAACAACATGGTAGAGGCATAAAATCTGACAAATAGGCTAAAGGGAAAAAACAGAGAACACAGGCAAAGGCACCAAGTTCATATGCTGGGGAAAGGAGAGTCTCTAATAAATGGTAATGGAAAAACTAAATATATACATGCAGAAGAATGAAACTAGACCCCATCCCATCCCCATCTCTCGTAATATACAAATCCCAACTTAAAATGGACTAAAAACTTAAATGTAAAAATATACTACTATGAAACACTAGAAAATAATAGGGAAATGCCTCAGGGTATTAGTCTGTGCAAAGACTTTTGGATAAGATCTCAAAAGGACAGGCAGGAAAAGCAAAAATAGACTAACGTGATTATATCAAACTAAAAAGCTTTTGCACAGCAAAGAATACAATCAATAGGGTAAAGACAAAACCTGAAGAATGGAAGAAAATATTTGTAAATTATCCTCCTCACAAAGGACTAATATCCAGAATATGAGGAACTCAGCAGCAATAGCTAAAAAAAAAAAAAAAAAAAAAAAAAAAAAATCAAATAATCCAATTACAAAATGGGAAACGATCTCAATAGATATTTCTCAAAAAAAGACAGATGCCCAACAAATATGTATTTGAAAATGCTTACTAATGATCACCAGGGAAATACAAATCAAAACCACAATAAGATATTATATCACCCCCATTAGAATGACTTATTATCCAAAAGACAAAAAATGACAAATGCTGGTGACAATGTGGATAAAGAACTCTATTCATACATTGTAGTTGTGAATGTAAATTTGTACAGTCATTATGAAAAAAAGTACTGTGGTTCCCCAAAAAACTAAAAATTATAACTACCATATAATCCAGCAATCCCATATATAGTGGGTACATATCCAAAAGAAAGGAAAAAAATCAGTACATTGAAGAAAGATCTGCACTCTGATGTTTACTGCAGCACTAATCACAATTGCTAAGATGAAATCAAACAAGGTGTTCATCAACGGATGAATGGATTAAGAAAATGTGGTATACACACTTAACGTAATACATAAAAGGAAGGAAATCCTGCCATTTTGGCAACATGAATGAACCTTGAGGACTTTATGTCAAATGAAATAAGGCAAAAACACAGAAAGGCAAATATTACTACAATGTTCTCTCTCTCGTATGTGGAAGCTAAAAGAGTTCATTTTGTAGAAGCAAAGAATGGAAAAGTGGTTACCAGAGGCTAGAAAAAGATAAGGGGAAGTACAGAGAAAGGCTGTTTAGTAGGTACAAAATTTCAGTTAGGTAGAGGAATAAGTTCTAGTGCTCTTTAGCACAGGGTGACTATAGCCAATAATTAATTATATGTTTCAAAATAGAGACAAACTGTCTTGTAGCTTTGAATTTTCTCACCAAAAAGAAATGATAAATGTTTTAAGTCATAGATATGCCATGTGCTGATTTGATCACTATACACAGTATATATAATATCAAAATATCACACATTACTGCACAAATATGTACAATTAGTACGCGCAAATTAAAAAAAAAATTTTTTTTGAAACAGTGAGGGGGATCTCATGAGACCAGAAAGGAGACTTGTGGAACAGAGAAAGGGGAGCAGGGTAGAGAGGAGGGAAGAGAAATGGGAGGTATTGGGGAGTGAAATGGCCCAGTTATATTGTTATATTATGTACATGTATGAATACATAATCACCAACCCTATTAGGTAAAATTATAATGCACCAACAAAATAAAAATTTTAAAAATTCTATGAGATCTTATGAATGAAAAACAGAACTTCTAAAATGTAATGTTTGACTAATTAAAAGAGAGGACATTGCTGAAAAATGAATAAGTGTCTGGAAAATTAAGCTAAGATTTGCCCTAAACACACACACACACACACACACAGAGACAAAAAAAAAGAACATATAAAAGTTAAAAGAAAAATAAGATGAACCCACAAGTTCTACTGTATAAAGAAAATAGAAGAGAGGTGAGACAATACCAAAAAAAAAAAAAAAAAAAAAAGTATTTTTAGAATACTAGAAAAATCCTAAACATCAGTTCTCATGTGTAATTTTTATTAATTACAAGTTAGTCCCTCCTTTTTTCTATGTTCCTTTGGTGTTTTACTATCAAATTGTAGTATTTATCTTTTAAGTAATAAGTCATGATACGAATGATTTCTCAGTTTACATATTTGTCTTTGACTAAATTGACCTTAAAAATGCGCTTATCTGGGTTGGGGCTGTGGCTCAGTGGTAGAGCACTTGCCTAGCATGTGTGAGGCACTTGGTTCGATTCTCAGCACCACATATAAACAAATAAACTCCATTGACAACTAAAACAATATTTTGAAAAAATGGTCTTATCTTTTTCATTTTTAAATTCTCAGCATCTATCACAACATCTAGCATAAGGCAGTGATAATTAATAGGTTAACAAGTTATATTGATAAGTGTTCACTTGAGATTTATTTGCCATAAAGACAAGCTAACTATTCACAATGAAAGAAAATATAGTAAATGCTTTTTGCATTATTTAAACTGCCACATGTAATTCTAAAGTAATAATGTATCAAATATGAAACCTCATTGGTTACTGCAACAATTCTTAAATTTCACAAAAAGATATTTACCTGTAGTTATGACTACAACAAAGGCACTGATAAATACAAGCAGAAAGTGAGGCTGCTAAGGTGTGCATTACATATACCTGGAAAAAAAAAAAACAAAGAAAATCACTTTAAGTATTAATATTTTTAAATATAATCCTTTTTCAAGACCTAATATAATTAGCATTTTCAAAAAGGTGAAAAAGTTTTTGCCTCTATAAACTATATTTTTTATAATACTCATTTCCAACTAAAGAAGTCTCACTACAGAAAATTTGCAGAAAAGAGCAGAATTTATAAAGCAAAGCAATTCAAAGGCAGTAGAGTCAAACATTTGTTTTGAGGAAGAGAAGACTCTAAATATGGCATGACGGGAGGTATAATAGTAGAATCAAAGATGAAGGAATAGTTAGGTAAGAAAGTAGACTAGAATATTAAGATTCTCTGATTATTATTTTTAAGTAGGTAAAAATGGGGAGTGAATAAAAACCTAATTGTTATTTTCTCTTTCAACTATCAATAAGACCTGTGAAATAAATTTAAAATGTCACATTAAATGAAGATGTAAGACCAAATATAGGAGGCTGCAAAATGATCATGTTTTGTAGCTTCTCCAGTACAATGCTGGATTCTTATTTCTTGATTCATTGAATCTGGGCTAGCCTTATGACTTGCTTTGACCAAGAAGACTCACTAGAAGTAAGATGCAAGTTCTGAATCTATGTCTCAAAAGGCCCTGCAAATTCTGCTTTTACTGCTTTTAAACTGCTACAACTCTCATGTGAAAAAACCTACGTAGATTGAGCCATAAGGTACACAGACATTTGGTCAAACATTATTCTGGGTTTGTCTGTGCGCTTCCAGATGAGATAAATATCTGTATCAGTAGTCTGATTAAAGCATAGTGCTCTCCATAATATGGGTAGGGATCATCCTATCAACTAGAAGACCTGAAAAGAAAAAAAAAAAAAAAAAAAACCCTAAGTAAGAGGGAACTCCTCTTGCCTACTGCATTAAACTCAAAACTGAAATATCAGCTCTTCTTGTGTCTTGAACCCATTTGTTGACAATTATACCACAGATTTTCCTGGTTCTCAGACCTTCAAACTGGGACTCTCTTACTTCTGTCTGTCTCTCTTTATCTCCTGTCCCCTACATAAACTATTGCGCTTCTGTTTCTCTGGAGAACCTGGAGTAATGCACTACGCTTGCCTGAAGGAAACTGAGACATAGAAAACTCAGATTCCTGCGTCAGCCCTGCCAACCACAAAAATGTCAATGTGGCCACTTCAGGTCATCCACAGTTGTCAACTCACCAGCTGCCTAGATGAATAAACAGTCCATAGATCAGCCTATCTGGGCCAAACCAGAATAACTGACAAGCCAACACATAGAACCGTGAGAAAAAATAAATAAGAGCTTTTTAAAGCCATTAATGTTTCAAAGTCATTATTAAGCAGCAAAAGCTACTTAAGGTAGCAAAAGATAATGTAGTGATACATAGCTATGCTATAATTAAACTGTATACGTGTGTGCATGTGCACATGTGCATGATATTAGGGATCAAACCCAAGTGTGCTCTACCAGTGAGCCAAATCCCCAGTCCTTTATATTTTCTATTCTGAGACACAGTCTCACTAAGTTGCCAAGGGTGGCCTTGAACTTGCAATCTTCCTACCTCAGTCAGCCTCCTTAGCTGCTAAGAGTAAAGTTTGGCTAAAATGAACACAGTCTGACGGAACTTAAATTCCAAAACATGTAATAAGCACTACAGGCATTTATACTACAAAGCAGTAAAGGAAGAGAGGTGATAAAAATCAAATTATCAGAAATAAATTATTAAAGATGGTCCATTATAAGGCAAGGAGAAAAATCAGATTTTGTGTGTGTGTGTGGGTATGTGTGTGTGTGTGTGCGCGCGCGCTTGGGATTGAACCCAGGGCTTTGTGCATGCAAGGCAAGCACTCTATCAACTGAGCTATATTCCCAGCCAAGGAGAAAATCAAATTGGTGTGACATTTATAACCTTGGAGGTGGGCAAAAACCATATGATAGACTATGAGGTTAAAAAAAAAAATACAAGGAATATGCAGAGATAGTCAAACTCAGCTCTATTCCAAAGGATTTCATATTTCAAAAGTAAATATGAAACATGAAGTGTGATATCCACAATGAATAAAATGGAATAATGATAGATAAGAGGATACGATTAGTTATGCATTAGAATCACTGGAGGAATGTCTTAAAAATATACATATTCATGGGATTTTTCACAGACTAATTTAATGAGTTTGGAGTAAATGTAAGAACTCAAAATTTTAACAAGCACTGAAGGTCATTCAGCTAACCTAGAGGAATGACGGGGCAAGGCACTTCACCCCATTATCCTTAAAAAATGTAATCCTTTAAAATTAACAAAGAAAAACCTTACTTTCCATTAGTACTTTTATACCAAAATATTAAGTTTTTATCCTTCAAAAACAATCAGTATTTTGGCTAAATGTACTACTTAAAGAATTACATATCTACATGTGTACCTATTGCTCTCATCATAATGAAACTAACTAAAACTAAATAACTAGCATTTTGATTTTTTAAAAATATATTTAAAAGAAACTGAATATACTATTGGGTACAAGTAACATAATAAGCCTGATCTGCACCAGAAGTTTTCTTTCATAAGATTCAATATAAACTTGGTAACAAAACAACTGCTATATCTAGCGTGATGTTCAAATTTTCTTTTTTAAAAAAGGATTAACATTTATCTTTCACTTTTAACATCACATATAGGTGAACTAAAAGTTTAGAATCAACCATACTTACTTTATTGCTTTGGCTGTCAGGATGAGGTGGTGAATCAAAGTTTATTATGGCATGTAGAATATCATGTGTCAGATTACTAAGGTGCAATAATGGATTGGCAACTACTGTTTTGGCACTGGCTGTACAAGCAAAGAGGAGAGGCACTGAGGTTTGCTCTGACAGAGGGCTAGGAAATAGTGGTTCTGATGTTTCCTTAAAAACAAAGAAGAAAAAAATGTTAAAACTATTAAAAAACTATTTCTAGTTTTAATCCATTATTTAGGTAATTCAGGAAACTCTTTGAAAAACTTCAAACAATTGAAAATTAAAATAATAACAGAATTTACAGAGTTAGAACTTGAGATGGTCAACATTCCAGCAATCATATTTAAAAAATGATGAAACAGCCAGGCACAATGGCACATGCCTGTAATCCCAGCAGCTGGGGAGGCTAAGACAGGAAGATTGCAAGTTCAAAGCCAACCTCAGCAATGATGAGGCGCTAAGCAACTCAGTGAGACCCTGTCTTTAAAGAAAACACAAAATAGGGCTGGGGGTGGGGCTCAGTGGTCGAGTACTCTGAGTTCAATCCCTGGTACCAAAAAAAAAAAAAAAAAAGAGAAACGATATCCCTTTGTAATAAAGAGGAGCTCATCACCTTACAAGATAGTCATGTAAAGACTGTTGAGTGTGAATTAAGCAAGTCATGAATAGCCCGATAGAGAATTGTCCTCCAATTGCAATATATTCATAGCTCTAAAATTCAAAATTTGATGGGCTACAAAAAAAAGGAGCATTCCTTAAATCAACTATAATTAAGAAAAGCAACAGTTTTAGTATTCAAAACCAGAAAATACAACAACATCAACAACAACAACAAAAAAACTGTTTCAGAGGTGTCTAATTTTGACTGATTAGAAGTTACATACCTGCTGAGATTCTTGCAAAAGCAAAATCAGTTCCATTCTCACAGATGCAAGACCCCCACCATGGGAGCCATGAAGTATGCAGTAACTAAGAAACATTCTCAACAGTGACTGGTATTTCAAAAGCCACTGTCTTTTTTCCTGAAAATTTTCTCTCAGTTGTTTCACTTTTATTTGATGATGCAAATCATCAGAATCCTCATTTAATCCGAATTCATCTCCATTGTTGTCAAATGCACTTTGTAGTTCTTTTGCATCAGAGCAAAAGTCACAAGTTCTCTGAAGAGCTATCACCTCTTTTTCAAGCCAGTGGTATAGCTGGTAACACAATTTTCCACCATCTATTTCATAGCCAGTAGATAAAGTACGAAGTTCTACTGTGAGAATTTTTAAACATGCTCTAAATTTTAATTGAACAGCAATTATATCTTCTGATGGATTTAACACATCATTTTCATCTAGTGTGCTGAAAGATTCCGTGTAATTACTTAGTTCATCTAATTTTTTATCTATTTTTCTCTGTAGAGGTTTTAGTTCTTTCAATGAAATAGGAAGATCCTCATTTTCTTCATCATTTTCACTATCCCATTTTAACTCTAAAGAGTCATCTTGAAACATGACACTTGGTTGGCTCCAGTCAAGAGAGAGAGTGGAGTTTGATTGTTTCTCTGAGGAACCCTCTGAAGAAGATTCAAAACCATTCATCAGTGATTGTGACCAATCAACAGCTGAAGACTTATCTTCCTTTGTATTCAATTTTAGTGGAGAAGAATCTTTACTAGTATCGAGAAAACTAGATGCTCTACAAAGAGGTTTTGTTTTCTTGATGACTTTGGGCATCTTTGATAATACTTCCAAAGCCAACATAGGACAGCCAGCATTTAGATGAGCACTAGCAGTAGTGAAAAATAATCTTCTTTCACTTAAATTAATTGTTCCTGCCAGTTCACTTTTTCCTGTTAAACCCATGTGTGTGGAAAATGTATCAGATGATCCAAAATGACGTCTCAGCAAAAGAGGATGTGTTCTCAGATAATTGTAGAAATTAAAAACTGCAGGATTACAGGCTGACATCATTACTTGATCTGAAAGTAAATTCATTTCATGAATCAAGAAAAGTTCTTTAAGATCTCAATGGGGGTATTTATATCATTGTCCTTTTTCTCTACCATGGAACCTTTACCTGACCTTTAGAACAATTTTTATTAATTGACCGCACAAATCCATGGCATTGAATAAACAAGAACACAAATGTAATAAAAATGTTCTAAAAACAGTAGAAAAACAAAAGTTAGGCTGATTTCCCACTAAAACAAACCTCTTCAGGTAACACTTAGTTCTTTTTCTCCTGTTGCCCTAGACATACCTCCTCGGTCTGCTTTGCTAGTCCTGCTCATCTTCTCTACCTTTCAATGATGAGCACTTTAGGGTTCAGTTCTTGATCTCTTTTTTATTTTACTCCTTGAGTTGAACTCACATATTCCCATGGCTTTAAATACCTTCTATATGCTGATAATATGCACATCTCTATATCTAATCCCAACTTCACCCTGAATATCTAAATTCCTATCTAACTTCTAAGGTCTACATTCTATTTCCACTTAGATTTATACAATCTTGCCTCAGAACCTATTTTATTTCAACATGCCATATGCACAAATCACTTTTTTCCTTGTTTGCAGTATAGGGGATTGAACCCAGAGCTTGTAGATGCCAGGTAAGCACTCTATCAATGAACAGCCTCCTCAGATCTTTTGATTTGTTGAGACAGGGTGTCATTAAGGGTCTCACCATGTTGCCCAGGCTAGCCTCAAATTTGTGATCCTAAGCCTAAGCCTCCTGAGCAGCTGGGATCACAAGTGGACACCAGTGGGCCCAGCTGGCACAAATTATTTTTTACCTAGATATTCTCTGTCCAAAGTTCATCTTATTAGAGAAGGCTTCTTGATAGAAAACAATTCCTCATATTATTTATCTACTGCTCAATCTACTGTTCAATCTAAGAAGCCAGAAATTAGCGTTGATTTCTAATTCCTTCACATTTTATATCCAATCCACTCTTGGCTAGCCAAACTTAAAATATTCCAAATCCGAATACTTATCTCTGCCTCTACTCCAATTACCCTGGCCCACGCCACTATTATCTTTTGTGTTTTCTTCCAGAAGAATACAGAGTTAACTGGTTTTAAAAGCATCAAAATATATATACATACCTATGTGTTTGTGTGTATAATTTATACAAGAATAAATGTAGGAACAAGAAAATGACTTATTATTTTTCCCCTTCAATACAAAGAGGCCAGTTTGAAAATCTTTAGTTCATGATTCATTTACTGTTGTATATTTTGTTTATATTCAAACTCTATCCTCTGTTCACATGTTTATTTTCTAATGATACCTCACAGACTGAACTTAAAGGCATCTCCTGGCATCCATAAACATTAAAGCTTTGAATTAAAAAAACAAGAAAATTTTTAGCTCAAATGGTGGCTAGGAGACTTGAACAACTAAGTCTCATGGCTTCCTCATAGGTTTATAAGGTGATATTTCCTGATTAAATGATGCCACACAGGAAGTGATGAACTAGAAGCTTTTCTACTTAGTATTCCAAATGACATGTCACCTACAGAACCAGCTACCAAACACAATTCAATCCTTGAAAAATATTCACAAAGTAAATCCCACCATTTTATATGAATTTACATAAAAGAATTCCATTTTATACTAGCCTCCAAGAAAGCTTTAGCAAAAAAAATTTCTACAAAAGTCCAAAGTAGAGCTCCAAAGGATACACTTAAAAGGCCCTCTACATTACTTATCTCATGAACAAGATAGTCAACAGCTTAAAATCTTCTAATCACATCACTTAAGTAAACTTTGTTTATGTGAATACATCTTTTACCATAATTCACAAAACACCATAAATTCAACTTATTATAAAACTGGCTTTACATTCAAAAGTATTTATATTCAAATGTTGATAATATATTTGTGTTCAATAAATCCATTTCATAAAAATATAAAATCCAATGTTCTTGGTTTTCAAAGGACGTATCTTTCTGAAAAGAAAAACTATACATATAATCCTATGTCCCAAAGTAAATCATAAAGTCATAATGCCCATAAATTTGTTTTCTACTACCCTTCGTGCCCAACAGTGGTCTACACAGTCAGCAAATACTAATAATACTTGTAATTGTTAACCTCTTAAAAGTATGACTTACCATCATCCTCTCTGGTAGGTTGCTTTATTAATGTTTCCAAAGCACCACTATAATCTTCCAAAATCCAATATGCCATACTCCGTAGAAAAGGATCATAATGCATATTTATATGCAAAGAACTGAATTCATTGATGGGAGAATCAATTCCCAAAACCTTTTTACGTAAAATAGATTTATATGTTGCAGATATATCAAATTCAGATTCATAGAGTCTTGCTATTACAAGAGCCAACTGAATATCATTCAGTTTTTCAAGACATACCTTTAAAAAGAGAAATACTATTTATAAATAAGCACGGGCACCTTTCATTTTAGGATAAACTCAACTTTCTAACAACTAGAAAAACACAAGGCTTTATTAATCTCCAAAATTACCAAAGAAGGATAAGAAACAAAACATTTATTGCCTGTTTTAACAAATCCACTTGATAAGAATTATGTTAATATTTCAAAATCTATTGGCTATTACTAAATACTTATTTGCAAAAAGATTTAGCTGAATGAGGAAATAGCAAATAATTCTAAATAATGTCAATGCAAGTCATATATTTTATAAATTTACTCAAGAGTATATTCTCTATTCACCCCAGCAGAGTACAGCATTTCCAAATTAAAAAGTTGTCTTGATTCCTGTATGAGACTCTGAGCCAAAGGATACTTTGAGACAGAAATGGCAAATCTATTCCTAATTTTTTAAGGTTTACAGAGAAATAATCACTGAAGAACTTTCTAAGGTTCATCAACTAAGACAGAGTCAGATAAACATTTAAATATGTTTAAAGTGAGAAAAGAGATCTTTTGTTTACCTGTTCATGTTTTAGGAGTCCACATAAACTATTTATCCTACTAACCAACCAATGCAAGCTGGTTTATCCTAATTCTGTATAAATACTATTCAATCTAAGTGACAAAATTTTTAAAGCCACTATTAAAGATTATCAGTTACTTCAGGTACTTAGATTTGGGTTGTTATCTACTAAAGCTGAAATTAAAATATAAAAATTTAAGATCCAGATAAAGAGGGGCTGGGGTTGTGGCTCAGTGATAGAGTGCTTGCCTGGCATGTGTGTGGCACTGGGTTTGATCCTCAGCACCACACAAAAATAAATAAAATAAAGGTATTGTGTCGGTCTGCATCTAAAAAATATTTTTAAAAAATCTAGATAAAGAGCTTAGAAGGATGATAATGCAATTTTTTAAAAAAAGTTTTATTCATTACCTCAATTGCATCTCTGAGGCAACCAGCTAAAAGAAAAAATGCTGCAGAATGTTCAAATCTTTGTTTGCCTAGCAAAGAAAAGGCATTCTTTAAAGCTGCTTTACGCCACCTCTCCTCTTCAAAATTGTGTCCAAAAAACTGCGTCATCCTGGTATCTTTTTGAGATCTATAAAGGAAAGGAAAGTAGGTAAATCTTGGAATATAATGTTTCTACATCCGAACAATCTTCTAAAGTTAGGACTTAAAAGTTAGAACTTGATAGAAACATTTGCCAGTTCATAAATTACTATGTATTTGCTTTACCTAGTAAAAAAAGAATACTTTTCCATCCATGTCTCTGAGATTACTTAAAAATTTTCTTTCAAATTACAAAGAAAATTGCATTAGCAGCATATAAAAATTATTAAATTAAGGCAAAATAATAATTATGTAAGCATTTATATTTATATAAAATAATATTAATTTCTGTGCTACTTTAGCATTTAAACCTCATCAATAACCTCTTCCTCTTGTCCATCAAAGGATGACTTTGGTGATCAAACTCTTTAACAAATTTCCCCTACTGAAAACAATCCTGAAAGACCAGTCTCTCAGAAATGGATTTGACATTATGGTTTTCTCCCAAATGTTGTCATGCAAATCACTTGGAACAAAATCCAAAACAAATGGTGAACTATTTATGGTAATCTCCCCCTGCTGTGAAGAAGTGAAAGAGAAAATTCTAAATGAATTCAGCTTGGAATAAGATGAGCACCCAAAGGAGGGAGGCAGTCCATGAGAACTCAATGAGGATGCTTGTTCCAGACTCAATGCTTGTTCCAGACTCCACCAATTCATCATCTTCCCCACACCGAATGCAAGTTGTTGGCTTTTGTATCATAGAAGCAGCTTGAGAAGTTCTTAAAATAAGAAAAAATACATTTCTGGACTGATAAATCCCAAAACAAACTAATGTGACCTGATCAGGTTTCTCCCACTTGCAGAGAACACCTAAGATTTTTTCCTATGAAATACCTTCCTAAACACAAAAATAATTAAAAATCTACATGAATCAACATCAACAAGAATAAATATTACTTTATGCATTTACTCCTAATGAAGTTTTCTTTTTTTTCTTTTCCTTACCTATATAAGCCCCAAATCACAGCTTTCTTTTTCATTGCAAGGTAAAAAATGGCAGCATCTAAAGGATCATTTTTTCTATAAAAGGCTGCTTTGGCTACCTATAATAAGAAAAATATTGTTCAAACTTTCACAGAAATAGGTTTTAAGTCAACAAATAATTGCCTTCACATATTAGACTGACATATGTTATCTATTTCAATGTTAAATAAATCTTTTTAATATATGCTATGAATATATGTGTATATAAACAAATAAAAGTAACTTATGATACTGAAGGATACAAAGGGGAGGTAACAGGACTACTTCCTTTTATTACAAGCTCTTCTGTACTATTTTATTTTTCTAAACATGTACTATTTTGTACAAGTCAGAAATATACCACTAAACAAATGTGTCAACTAGAATTTTAGGAATTAAAATATAAATTTTTAAAAATTATATTAACATTTTGAAAAGTAAGGACTATTTGAAAGTATGTTGTTGCTCTCAAAACAAAAGGGAATAATTAAGAGCAGAGAAAATATGGACTGTCATTCAAACAAACATCCAAAATATATCAATTTATTTTTACAACAAAACAAAACATGCTTACTTTTTCTATGCATTTGCGTAAGATGCGGGTATTCCGGACCCACCATCCCACACCCATTGCTCTTAGTTCAGACCAAGTGGGATCATCTTTCTGCATTGCTGGCAACATGTTCAACAGTTCTTCTTCTGCTACTGAGTGAAATGCCCAAGCAAAATGACTAGTAGACAGGCCTGAAGAAATGTCAAAAATGTTTATAAGAAACATGAATATGATATAAAACGATTACCAGAAATGTGTATTACATATTTGCAGTAAAAATGTATAAGTTTTTATGAGATTTACAACTATACTTAAATCTTTAAGAGTGCTAGAGTTGAGTAATTTATTATTTTTGGTTTTCCAAACAACCGTGGCACTCCAATGAGCATATATTTTGTACATATATTTTTTTGAAAAAACACAATAGATATTTACGGCAAATGCCACTTGCCATTGTGCTACAGTATTTTCGTTCTCTAGCAATTATCCATGATCTTTTTTAGACAATGAGAAACACTTTAAGCAGTATTCTATATTGGTATGCTTCCCTCCTCAAAGCTGCTTCTTACTTTCCTCTGGTCAACATTTGTTTTATGGACTTAATTCCTTAGAATTAAAAGATATTAAGTAAATAGTATAGCTTAGTGAACTAAGCACAGCACTGCACAGACTCCAGAATTTAATGCATACATTAAATTCCAGTTTTACCACTAACTAAATATATAAATGTGGGCAAGTCATTGAGTTTCTTCCTGTCTCAGTTTCTTCATTTATTTATAAAATGGGACTAATGATGAAACTATCATATTACATAGCTTTAAAGATTAAATAAAATAATATAGCTAAAGAACTCAGAATACAATTTGGCCCATAACAGTAACACTCCTATGTTCATAGCAGCATTACTCACAATAGACAAAATGTGGCACCAACATAAATACTCGTGAACAACAGATGAATGGATTTTAAAATGTGGCTTATATCCATAATGAAATACTACTCAGCCTCATGAAGGAAATTTCCGCAATATGTAACAACATGGTTGAACACTGAGGACATAATGCTAAGTGAAATAAAGTACCCACAGAAACAAATATATTTCATGAGTCCACTTTGCTGAGGTATCTGACATGGTCAAATTCATAAAATCATAGAGAGGAGTGATGGTTATCAGAGGCTGGGAAGAGGGAAATGTGCAGTTACAATTCAGGAATCCTCAAGTTCTGTCAAACAAAATGAATAAATCTAAAGTTCTGCTACACAAAATTGTACCTATAGTCAACAATAATGTATTGTTTGCTTATAAATTTGTTAGGAGAGATCACATGTTGTGTTCTTACCACAAGAAAAAAAAAAAGAATACCTTTGCCACAAAATCATAAGGGAAAAAAAAGATGATAATATAGGCAGAGAAGTAGAGAGAAAGACAAAACAGATATTGATTCTAACAAAACCAAAAGGAAAAGCTAAAAATGAAAATAGAAATTAAGGATGTCTTTGACAGGCTCATCAACAGACTCAACACAGTCAAGGAAAGAATATGTATGCCTACAGTAGAACAACAGAATTTTCTCAAACTGAAATGGAAAGAAAAAATTCAATGAATGAAATCAGAACAGGGCATCAAGAACTGTAGGCTAATTGCAAAAGTCCTACCATAACTATAATTGAACTCGTAGGAGAAACAAGAGAGAAGGAGATGAAATTTTTCAAGTTATAACCGCTAAGAACATTCCCAAATTAATCACAGATTGTTCAGAAAGCAATGAACAGGTTGTATTATCCCAAATACACCTATACATATTACAGAAAACCAAAGACAAAAGAAGAATTTCAACAAGAGCTAAAACACAAATAAAAACAATAACCGATTTACCCATAGAGGAACAAGGGTAAGGTTTACAGTAGATTTCCCTTTGGAAAGGATATGAACAAGAGAACTGAGTGAAATATTTAAAGTGCTGAGAGGAAAAAAAAAAAAAAAAAAAAAAAAAAACTATCAAACCAGAATTCTAAAGTCAGGTAAATTATCCTTCAAAGTTCAATGAGTTAATAAAGACTTTCTCAAGGGTAACAGTGAGGAGGAATACAATCACAGCATGTAATGTCACATATGTCATAATAAAATCAGTTATTTTGTACAATTAATATGTACTAATAATTATAATAAAAAGGGCTGTGGTTGTGGCTCAGTGACAGAGCGCTTGCCTACCATGTATGAATGAGGCTCTGGGTTGGATCCTCAGTACATAAAAATAAATAAAGGTATTTGTGTCCATCTACAAATAAAAAACATTTTTAAAAAAATTTTATTCTATTTAGTTATACACGACAGAATACATTTTGACACACTGTACACAAATGGAGCACAATTTCTCATTCCTCTTGCTGAACATGGTGCAGAACCACACCAATGGTATAATCATACACGTATAAAGGGTAATAATGTCCATCTCATTCCACCATCCTTCCCATACCCACACCCCCTCCTCTTCCCTCACATCCCTCCATAAAATCCAAAGTTCCTTCATTCTTCCCTACTCCTGTCTCATTATGAATTAGCATCCACTTATCAGAGAAAACAATGGGCCTTTGGGTTTTTGTGGTTTGGCTTATTTCACTTAGCATCATAGTCTCCAGTTCCATCCATTTACCATAATTTCATTTTTCTTTAGTAGTATTCCATTCTGTGTGTTTGTGTATGTGTGTGTGTGTGTGTGTGTGTGTGTGTGTGTGTATATATATATATATAAAATCATATTTTCTTTATCCATTCATCTCTTGAAGGGGACCTAGGCTGGTTTCATAATTTAGCTATTGTGAATTGAGCTGCTATAAACATTGATGTGGCTGTGTCCCTGTAGTATACTGATTTTAAGTCCTTTGGGTATAAACCAAGGAGTGGGATAACTGGGTCAAATGGTGGTTCCATTCCAAGATTTCTGAGGAATCTCCATACTGCTTTCCTGAGTGGTTGTACCAATTTGCAGTCTCACCATTAATGTATGATTGTACCTTTTCCCCCACATCTTCTTCAACAGTTATTGTTCATTGTATTCTTTTTTTTTTAACTTAACTACTAGGCATTATTTTTTTAATTCTAATTTGTTATACATATGACAGCAGAATGCATTACAATTCATACTGCACATATAGAGCACAATTTTTCATACCACTGGTTGTACAAAGCTTGTATTCTTGATAATTGCCATTCTGACTAGAGTGAGGTGAAATCTCAGTGTAGTTTTTATTTGCATTTCTCTTATCACTAGAGATGATGAGCATTTTCTCATGTATTTGTTAATGGATTGTATTTCTTCTTCTGTGAAGTGTCTGTTCAGTTCCTTACCCCATCTATTGACTAGTTTTTTTTTTTTTTTTGGTGTTAAGTTTTTTGAGTTCTTTATATATCCTGGAGATTAGTGCTCTATCTGAGGTGCACATGCTAAAGATTTTCTCCCATTCCATAGGCTCTTTCTTCATGTAATTCATTGTTTGTTTCCTTTGCTGAGAAGAAGATTTTTTAGTTTGAATCTATCCCATTTAACGATTCTTGATTTTACTTCTTGCTCTTTAGGAATCTGGTTAAAGAAGTCAGGTCTTAAGCCAACAAGGTGGGCACCTGGTCCTACTTTTTCATCTATAAGGCACAGGGTCTCTGTTCTAGTGCCTAAATCTTTGATCCACTTTGAGTTGAATTTTTTAAAATATTTTTTTAGTTGCCAATAGATTTTATTTATTTATATGCAGTGCTGAGAATTGAACCCAGTGCCTCAAATATGCTAGGCAAGCACTCTACCACTGAGCTACAACCCCAGCCTTGACTTGATTTTTGTGCAGGGTGAGAGACAGAAGTTTAATTTCATTTTGTTACATACGGATTTCCAGTTTTCCCAGCACCACTTGTTGAACAGCCTGTCTTTTCTCCAACGTATGTTTTTGGTGCCTTTGTCTAGTATGAGATAACTGTATTTATGTGGGTTTGATTCTGTGTCTTCTATTCTGTACTACTGGTCTACATGTCTGTTTTGGTGCCAATACCATGACATTTTTGTTACTATAACTCTGTAGTATAGTTTAAGGTCTGGTATTGTGATGCCTCCTGCTTCACTCTTCTTGCTAAGGATTGCTTTGTCTATTCTGGATCTCTTATTTTTCCAGATGAATTTCATGACTGCTTTTTCTAGTTCTGTGAAGAATGTCAATGGGATTTTAATAGGAATTGCATTAAATCTGTATAAGACTTTTGGTAGTATGGCCATTTGACAATATTAATTCTGCCTATACAAGAGTATGGGAGATCTTTCCATCTTCTAAGATGTTCTTCAATTTGTTTCTTTAGTATTGTAGTTTCCATTATAGACATCTTTTACCTCTTTTGTTATGTTGATTCCCAAGTTTTGTTTTTTTTTTTTGAGGCTATTGTGAATACTTTTCCTAATTTCTCTTGCAGTGGATTCAAAAAAATTAAAAAAAATAATAATTATAATAAAATTTTTTTCTCAAACACACTGATGAAATCATTGCTCATAAATATGCTCTACAAAAAATCTTAAAAGATGCTCTTCAGGGCGGGGGTTGTGGCTCAGTGGCACAGCGCTTGCCTTGCACATGTGAGGCACTGGGTTTGATCCTCAGCACCACATAAAGATATTGTGTCCATGTATAACCAAGAAAAAAAAAAAGGTGCTCTTCAGAAGAAGGAAAATGATATACGGCAGAAACTTGGTTCTACATAAAGAAAAAACAAGCAATAGAAGAAGATTAAGAAAACATTAAGTAAAAACTTTTTTCAATAAGAATATATTTGATTATTCATGCACATGTGCATATTTTATGTACATGCATATGCTTATGTGTAAGTGAAATTACTGGCAGTTATGATTCAACAGATAAGAGAAAAAATAACAATTTTGTTGTTATAAGGTACTCATATTATCCATGAAAAAGTATTGTGTTATTTGAAAGTGTATAATGCAAGTTTTAGGGCAACACTAAAAAAAAAAAAAAAAAAAAAAAAAAAAGTAAGTACAGCTGATACAGTAAGAAAGAAAGGAGAGAAAATGAAATTATGTAAAATGCTCATTAAAACCTCAAGAGTAGGGCTGGTAGAGTGCTTGCCTCGTATGTGCGAGAACCTGGGTTCGATCCTCAGCACCACATAAAATAAATAAGTGAAATAAAGGTATTAAAATACTAAAAAAAAATAAAATAAAACCTCAAGAGTAGAAGAAGAAAATAGGAATAAAGGGTTACACAGCAATGGATTGTTTGAAAATAGCTAGCAGAATTTGAGTTGGATTTGAATGTCCCCAGCACAATGAAATGAGATAACTGTAGTGATATATATGCAATTACCCCGATTTAATCACTAAACACTGTATACATTAGAATGTCACATTATACCCCATAAATATGTACAAGTACCATTCGTGAATTAAAAAATAGGAACGAAAACAAAACCATTAAATAGAAAATAGTGGCAAATATAGCAGATATCAATCAACTACCTCAATGTTAACTTTGAATGGACAAAAGTTAAAATATTTCAATTTAAAGACAGAGCCTGTTAGAGTGATTCAAAAAACAAAAGTACAACTATATGTTGTCTCCAAGAAACCTGATTTAAATAAAGACAAATATAGCCTGTAAGTAAATGGATAACAAAATGCCATACCCACACTAAACAAATGAATCAGGAATACATATATTCATCTCAGATGGAGCAAACTTGAAAGCAAGGAAAGTCATCAGAAATAAAAGGGCATCACATAATAATATAGAAATCAATTCTCCAAAATGACTTAATAATCTTTTTGTTAACTATACAAATAGATTAAAAACTTAAGATCTGAAACTATAAAACTACCAGAAGAAAACAGGAGAAAATCTTCATGTCACTGATCTAGATAAGATCCCTAAAGCACAGGCAACAAAAACAAACAAATAGGATTACATCAAATTTAAAAAGCTTGTGTAGAGCAAAGGATTTAACTCACAGAGAGTAAAGACAACCTACAGATTAGGAGAAAACATCTGTAATCTGCACACCTGATAAGAGGTGAATATCCAAAATATTTAAGAAACCCAATAGTAAAAAAGAAAAAAAAAATCAAATAACTTATCTAAAGACCTGAACAGATATTTACCAAAGACAGACATATGAATGGCCAACAACAACAACAACAACAACAACAAAAAACAAACATTTTTGTCGATAAGGGAAGTGGCAAATGAAAACCACAATAGTGAGGCAGGAGAAAGAGTTAAATAGGTAGGTAGGGCCCCTTCAAAAGGTCAGATTTCTGTGTAGCACGCTGAGAGACTACAGGCACAAAAGGCCAGGCTTCATCAAGGTCAAGCCCATCCCTGTGTAAGCAGAAAAAGTAAGTGACAGTGAGACAAATGTTGCCTAGTGCCCAGACCCCCTCCATAAAGAGGAACTTATAGGACCAGAAGGAATGTGAAGAGCTTATGGAGCACCTTAGCCAGGATTGGGTCAAGAGCTAGCTAGCTTCCTTAACCTTACAGATTTACATACATCCTTAGACAATACCACTCACTGGCAACCCTCTCTTTCCATTCCTCCTCCTACAGAAGTTCTGCTTTCTTTATGTTACTCTAATAAATCCTGTTACTTTGCTCTCACCCTTTTTGTCTGTGGAGTTCATTTTTCAAATTCATGAGACAAAGAACCCACCAAACCATGCTCCATGCTACAATATCACCTCATACCTTTTAGAATGGCTATCATCAAAAAGATAATAAGCATTGGCAAGGATATGCAGAAAAGGGAAGTCATACACTATTGGTGGGAATGTAAATTATTATTGCCATTATGGAAAAAGGTATACAGATTCCTCAAAACACTAAAACTAGAATTAACATAAGATTTAGCAACCCTACTTCTCTGTACATATCCAAAGGATTTGAAATCAATATATTGAAGAGATACCTAAACCCCATGTTTACTGGGGTATGATTTACAATATCTCAGTTATGAAATCAATCTTTGTGTCTATCAATGAATGAATGAATAAAGAAAATGCACAAAGGAATACTAAAGAGCCATAAAAAAAATTCTGTCATCTGCAATAACCTGGATAAATCTAAAGGACTTTACGCCAAATGATATCATATAGCTAAATAACTGGAAAAATAACAAAAAAGAGAATGAAAGTCATATAAAGACAAATATTACATATTTTCACTAATGCTATCTAAAACAACCAAACTCATAGAAACAGAGTAGGATAGTGGTAATCAGAAGCTGGAAGATAGGGATAATAGGGAGATACTGATTAAAGGATACAAAGACAGAAGGAATAAGTTTTTGAGGTCTCTTGTACAACATGATGATTACCCTTAATAATAGTACATTTGCATAGTTCAAAATTGCTAAAAGCGAATTTCAAGTGTTTGCACCTTCAAACATAAGTACTTGAGCAGATGGATATTAAGTAGCTTAAATTAATCATTCCACTTTGTATACATATATCTTACACGTATCCCTTAAATATACAGAATTGCCAATTTACAATAAAACTTTTTTCTTAACAACAGAAATTAATCTCAACTAAGTTTCAACTTTAATTTCCAAAGCAAAATGCAAAATGAGGGGAGAAAGGAAGCAAGGAGGGAAACAAAATAGAAAATAGAGAACAAGAGACAGGGACCAGTGAATAGAGGCTCATTTGCAGAGTAACAGTAACACTATCCACTCTGGAACCCAGCTTCATCTCTTTAAGCTTCTAGGAATTGAGTCCATAAATATTCTGTTTTAAGTCATCTGAAGTGAGATTTTTGTTACTTTCAACCGGAAGAGTACTGTCTAAACAGTACGTGAGCATATCTGAAATATAATGCTATTAAACTAATATCTGCAATACACGCTAATTTTATCTGTTTCCGGGGTACAAATTTCATAAATTTTTTTAAAAATATTTTTTAGTTGTGGTTGGACACAAAATATCTTTATTTTATTTATTTAGTTTTATGTGGTGCTGAGTATTGAGCCCAGTGCCTTGCATAACTAGGCAAGCACTCTACCACTAAGCCACAACCACAGCTCGAATTTTTATTTTTTATATTCTGTGTCTCCTTTGTGTGAAGCATTTAAATTTGAATGCATTATTTCTATAAGAAGTGTTCATATTTTGGGGGATCTCAATTTACATGAATATCAAAAAGGCAAAAAAAAAAAAATTTAAAGAAAAAATTAAAGTGAATAAAACAATATTAATTTACCTTTAATATTTCATATTTAAAAACATAACACAGAGCTGTGTGTGCACACACCTGTAATCCCAGTGACTCAGGAGGCTGAGGCAGGAGGATCCCAAGTTCAAGGCCAGCCTCAGCAACTAATCAAGGCCCTAAGCAATTTAGCAAGATCCTGTCTCAAAAAAAAAAAAAAAAAAAAAAAGGCTGGGACTGTTGCTCAGTGGTTAAGTGCCCCTGGGTTCACTCTCTAGTAATCAAAAAATAAATAAATAAATATAATAAAAACACAGAATATCTGATTGTCCTTTTCATCTACCATTAAAAATATTAGGTCTTAACAAAGAAGATAAAGAGGAAATAAACTTCTTAAAAATAAACTGCTGGGTGAGGTGTCGCATGCCTGTGATTCCAGCAACTCGGGAGGCTGAGGCAGAAGGATCAAGAGTTCAAAGCAAGCCTCAGGAATGGCAAAGTTGCACTAAGCAACTCAGTGAGACCCTTCTCTAAATAAAATACAAAAGAAAGGCTGGGAATGTGGTTTAGTGGTTGAGTGCCCTTGAATTCATTCCATGATACCAAATAAATAAATAAATAAATAAATAAAATAAAGGGAACTTAGAATACATCATACTCAGCATCACTATCATGCCTAGCCAAAAAATAAGTATAAAAGTCATAAGTTTTTCTCTCTTTCTACTTGACTTTCTTCCCTGTAGTAGATTATTACCAAAATCAGCTGGAAGTGTGGCTCAGTAATACAGCACATGCTTACCTAGCATGTGCAAGGCCCTGGGTTTCATCCCCATAACCCTACCCTTCCATGCATGCTCCCTCTTCCCAAAGAGATTACTACCAAATCACCTTGGTGAAGGAGTTGAGCTCTACAGGCTGGAAGGGAAGTTATAAGAAATGTATGGAGTCTAACAGCCAAAAGAAATTTTAAGCCACATTCATCAAGAGTTTCTCCACCTGCAAACAGGAAAAAAAAAAAAAATTGTTAAAAAAAAAAAAAACATTTTGTAAGCAAAACAATACTAAAATTTCTGATAATCAGCATATGTCACAGCACCAGAAACAGTGATAAAACATTTTAAGCTGACAAAAAGGTTATCTAAAATATTTTATAATATTCCCTTTTTCTACATAATTTTACATTACAAAGATATTATATAGCTAAATAACTGGAAAAATAACAAAAAAGAGAATGAACGGACTCAGAATTTATTAACATTCTTTATAATTTGATCTTATTTGATTTAAATTAAAATGTAACTGGATTTTTAAATAGTTAATTTCACACCTTATTTGAGATTTGAGGGAAATTGTCCAAATTTGTTCATAAGTTCAGGAGATTTTTTAAAAAATGCTTCCTGTGTGATAAAAAGATCAAATTTTCTTATGCTTTTTTTGTTATTATAGGTAGGAGTAATTACTTATGCTAGTTTTATTATTTATCAAGTTATATTATTATAACTTGAAAAAATCAACAGAAATTACTGCATTTTCAAGTACCTAAAATAATTGTTTAATAAAAATCAGTTCACTGGGAATGTAGCTCCCAGTGGTAGAGTGCTTGCCTAGGAAGCATGAGGCCCTCAATCCCTAACACCACAAAAAACTGTTAACTTTTGCTAAACTCACAAATATTCAGCAAAAAATGACTGTCATGATGATTTTTTGTGTCCTTCCTTTATGCCACAATGATTTATGGGATATAAAATATTTATTGAAGTCAAAACTACTATAAAGATAGAAATAATGTTTTTTTAAGTCTTCATAGCATCATTTTATTTAAAAAAGATCATTTTTCTGTGAAAATAAGTAAAAATATTACCAGCTGTATCTTCAAATACTCTATGGAATTTAGTATTACCTTGGCTTTTGTCTCTGCTTTCTCCAATATCAGTGCTTGTAGTTGCAATAGTATCTGCTAAGGCCATCAGAGACATCTGTTCCATCCGGCTAAGTCCTGGTAAACTAGAATGAAGTAAGTGGCCAGAAAGAACTTGAGCATGCTCAGGACCAAAATAAGTTGGACTATACTGTGAAAGGTCAATAACTCTGGGCTTTGTAGTTTCTTCATCTGTCTCTAACACATGAATATCAGGCATTATAGCTGAAGTCTGAAAAAGTTCATCATAACTTTCTTTTGACAACTGGCTTGATTTATTTAAAAAAACTCTCATTATTAGATTTCTCCAAAGATGAATAACAGCTATCATCATCAGCTGCAAGTAAGGCATATAACGGAAGTGGAGGGACAGAATCTATTTGAGTGTAATCTATATTTTCAGCTTTGTTGAATGCCTGGGGATCTCTGGTAGTGCTTCCACTAGCACTAATGGTGAGAGACCTTAGGCGGCGTTCATGATTGGATTCAGTTTCATTCAGAGCCACAACTTCCCCAGCAATGCACTTGACAAGATGTGACAAGATGGCCTTTGCTCTTCGAACTTTGCCAAGATCCATGAGTTCCAAAAGTTGCAAGGGATGGTACTGAGGTAAAGTTGGGGACAGTACATGAGCTGCTTCAAAAAGACCTGAATCTTCCATATCCACTGAAGGATCAAATACAGTTTTCTTTCCACAAATTTTCTGTGCAAGACTGGTCATAGATCGAGTCAGCGTTTTCTTTGGAGGATGTAACCCAGAACTTGATGAGTTACTCTGTTTTATTAAACTTAGTATAGACGGAGTGCTCCCATTGCATGAATCTGTTATAACAGGTTCTTGTTTAGAAGATGGCTGCCACTGGGAATATACATGCATTTCACAATCCATTCCTACCACAAGAATGCCATCCCGAACCCATGATAGAGAAACAGGAAATGGTGGGGAGCCATCTACAGAAGAAACCAAGTCCACACTTCGTAACAGTACAAATTTAGAAAGAGGCACAATTTTAGTACTCTCCCAGAGAGGAAATGCCAGGTTTTCCTTACCAGGTTGTTCTTGTACTTTGCCAGACAGTGGTCCGTACATAAAAAGTTTTGATCCAATTCCTACAGTTAGGATATGAGAACCATCTTCTCTAGACATCCAATCTAAATGAACTAAATGCTTTGTGTTTGATGTGATACTTTCTTTACTGAATAAACATGCCTCTTGCTTATTGTAGGCCACTAAATTGCTATCAATACTAATGCCAGAATCCAATACTGTGCTTAACTCATCTAAATGAATTGTCTGTTCAAGGACCCAACATGAACCTCCTGTACACTCACATTCAAAAATACTTACATGTATCAAAAAGTCCTGAGAAGATCTATTAGATGCAGGCTGCTTATATGCTACAGCCAAACGATTTGTATGTGCACAGCTAACTTCTATAGGCCTACCAGGTACACTTATACTACTATTGCTCTGAAGTCCATCTTCAATAAGTAATGGCCATTCTTCCCAAATATATACAAGATCTATTTTTCCATTCTTTGATGTGGCAGATTCTCCATCTGTTACTCTGCATCTCCAAAATCTTACTTTCTCATCTGAGCATGAAGTTGCCAATAAATAAGGAGCACTGCATACAGGATATATGGAAGAAGAACTCAGATGTCCTACAATAAAAATAATCCATTAAAATATCAAATTTAGTTATACTTATGTTCTCATCAATTAAAGGTTTTAGTCCTTTTGCATGAACTACTGTTAGGAACATGGTAGTCTATATTTAGTTTAAGGCTCACTAAGATCAGTAGGAGGCATTTAGTGACATCACAACAATATATTAAAAATGAATCACCAAAGCCTAGAGCAGAAAGGGAACATTAGGAAAGTTTACTTCAATTCCTGCATTTATAGGTAAAGACCCAACGTAATCAAACACATTAAGTATGCTGTGTTTGAATCAAACAACTAGACTAAGGAGGAATTAGAAATCTGAATTCTTATCTTGATTCTAAATCTAGCATTCATTTTACAGCTCTCTGCTAATTTTATACATTATCTTAAAGATATTAACATTTTTAAAGTATTTTTTCAACACTCCTTGTCTCCTCCTTGTTCATATTTTTCAATACAAATGTGAATGTCCCTTGTTTACCTAAATATTAAAGGGTCACTTCGTAGGGCCCTTCAATATAACTAGTGCTGAGTAGATTCCTAGGTGGAACTTAATATTTTCTCAGGCTATACTATTAGTTTACTAAATCAGGTTTTGGCAAACTTAAAGGGCCAGACAGTAAAAACTATTTTACACTTTAGGGTCTCTTTTGCAACTACTATTTCCATAAAATTCACAAACCTGCTGATGGCTTAACACTTATTATCTCTACTCCTTCTGGTAAATGCAACTCTTGGCTATACACCATTTCGGAAAACAAAGACAACTTGCTGGTACTCTGAAGATTTGCTCTGCAAGCCTGATACTTCTGTGAAAAAGGAGACAGGATCTTCTCTAGAGAAGAAGAATAATGTTCTTCTGGTTGCCAAACTGCTTCAGATATTTTCGTGTCCACTTTTTCATCTACAAAACATAAGAAAAAAACCAAGAAGTTGGCAGGGAACTCTACAAATACTGTAACTACTAAATTTTATAATCCAAAACTCCCTTACAAAAGATAAAACAGAACACATATTAATGTTCTGCACAGCAAGAAAACGAGAAACTCATTTTGCTTTTCTGTATTAACTAAATAATTGTCATTACTACGGAAGAATGACTTTAAGAAATATGTCCTAAACTATCCAATCATGTGTAATTTTTAATATTTATGCCTAAAGCTACAATCAAAATAAATGAATAAATAAATAAAGGACTCACCCAATGAGACAGGAATTGACTTTAAGTGTAAATTCCACATATGTAGTAGTGAACGGCTGTCTTGTGTGTACTCTATCACAACTAGGTAGAACTTTTCAGAAAATCTATTAGGTGAACTGCCTGTTGGTATCAGTGATATTTTTCATTATTAACACAGATAAATGAGACAACATACCAAATAAACCAAGTTAAAATAACTATTTTTAAAAGAAAGAAAATTAAAAATTTTTATCTAGGATTCCAAATACAAAATGGCATTGTAGAATATATTCAACTTCTTTACCACATAAATTTGTTAATCCAAAATTTTAACAACTATATATATGCATGTATTCTTAAATTTCATTTTTTAATTGAAAGGCTTAAAAAATCATACATCACAGTCATCATAATGTTCATATAGAGATCTTAATAAGAGGAAAATTTCTAAACAAGAACTATGTAATATATTATATATTTTTAAGTGAAAATTTTCATTTATATAAGCAATATCGCTAAAACTGTTATGCCAAAATGTATATTTTAAGACAATATATCATGATGAAATTTTGTTGCCAAAATTTTTCAAAGTTTCATACTGGAATGTCTTATTCAGATGCATATCTAATGACCAGAATGTAAGTATTCATCAACTAACATATTATTTAAGAAAATTTTTCTTGGACTATACAGATTAAACAACATACAAAGTTGCTCAAAAGAACTAAATGAGTTTTCTAAAAATTATCATAAAATCAATGGTTCATTATTCCTTTTTTTTTTTTTTATAAGAGACTTCAAGTTTTCACTATAAGCTATTCCTGGTTAGGTATGAAATGACATTAAAAAACTACATTATAAATACCCTATAAGTCATAAAACATGTGAAAAACAGAAAGCAAATATTTTTGAGACCCAAAGTTTTTGCCCTTTTAAATTTGTATTGGAAAAAGTTTTCAAAAGAACTTGTTAGGACCTGGGATTTATGGCTCAGCGGCAGAATGCTTGCCTAGCACGTGTGAGGAGGCACTGGGTTCGATCCTCGGCACCACATTAAAATAAATAAATAAAATAAATTATTAAAAAAAAAACACTTTAGAAAATAAAGATGACCATAAATATTTTAAATCATCTTGTGTTAGGAAACTAAATGAAAAGGTAACTTTGATAATGTGTTCTGAGTTAGGTATTCAAATTTTAAGAATTAAAAGGCAGAAAAGGACAAAGGAATGATCACCAAAAAAAAAAAAAAAAAAAAAAAAAAAAACAATCCTACTTCTTACAATTTCACTATCAAGAAAGAATGCCCCAATAATGAAAATATCCATAAAATACTTTTCTTCTTGACAAGAAAGAAAAGAAGATTAAAAACAACTCCTTGGTATTTTCTGGAAAGCTCTAATAATAAAGATAATTGCTGAGTAAAAGTCATTAAGAATTCCCTGAATGTTTTAAGAAAAACATTTTTAAAATTAGTCTTAAAGATAAAAAATTAAAAATTGAAGAATCTTAGAAAAGAAAATGCTAGAAAGATAAAGACATAACCTTAAGCACAAGGGAATAATTTTTATTTAAAAAAAATTTAAAGAGATTTGAAATTAACATTGCCATTTTAATATAAAAAGATAAAAACCTTTTTATTTAAATAAACAATATTTTATTCTATATTTGCCATCTTTATTCTCCATTTTTAGCATATTTCCATCATGTTCAAAATCATAAAACATGAGTAAAGTGTATTTGCACAGCTCATGAAATCTCAGGGTAAATGATAGAAGACTAAGTAAAAGCAGGGGTAAGAAAGTGGATGTTCAATGTAAAAGTGGAGAATTCTAAGGAATACTTCTTAAAAGAGAAGAAAAATGGAAATGGTGTTAGAAATAATATCCAAGAGGTAGAAGAAATAAACAATGTGCAAGAGAAGTCAAGAAAAAAAATATCTGGAACAAGTAGAGAATGTAGTTAATATTATTTAAGACTTGATAACTGACTTGATAAGTGGTAAACTTATAAATCTTTATAAGATTTTAATCTTAAGGAACATCATTTCTGAGTTTGGTTTGGTTCTGTAATTAAGATTAAAGACCAAGAAATTTTAGCTTTATTTTTCCCATTTTCCTTCATGTAAATTAACAGCTAATGTTGAGCAGTGAGTTTAATAAAGAATTTTAAACTTTTAGTATAAAAAGTAAATTAAGATACTTAATCATCAGGCACAGTGGCACCTGCCTATAATTCCAACTACTAGGCAGGCTAAGGAAGGAGGATGGCAAATTTAAACCCAGCCTGAGCAACTTAAAGAGACGATGTCTCAAAATAAAAATACAAAAGGGCTGGGGATATAGCTCAGTGGTAGATCACTGACATGCACATGGCTCCAGGTTCAATTCCCAGTACCAACAAAAAAACAAAAACAAAAACACTTAGCCTTTAAGGACCCCATAGCTTAAATTTTTAAGCTATTTCTTTAAATTATAGGTTTCTAAAAGGCCAGGGATCCATGTCATCCTATGTAGAGTAAGATCTTATCTATGCAAAGAGTATGCAAATATCAATGGTAAATATTTCTATAATGCTTTTTAAAAACTATATAACTGAGAAATACCTTTGTTTTTTTTTCCATTTCTGGTTAATAATAAAAAAAAATAAGCCAGGATAAGTGACATGAGCCTGTAGTCCCAGTTATTCAGGATGCTGAGACATTATTGCTTGAACCCAGGAGTTCAAGGGCAGCATGGGCAACATATTAAGAACCTGTCTCAAAATAAATATATAGTTGTCAATGTTTATAATAATATCAGAAATGTACACAGGACAATTTTAACTTGAGATACACAATGTAAAATATATCAATTTATCTTTAGTAACTATTTAACATACTCTATATTAATATGTTATTACATATAAAAATTCTTTACCTGTATCAGCTAAAATGCTGTCTTTTCCGAGACTTTTCCTCTCAAGATTATTTAAAATAAAATCTTCTTGAAAAACATGAAGCAGTTGGGTTTTTTTGCCATGCTAAATATAAACAAATATCAACATAAGTTGGGATACATATCACATACCTGATGCTAAGTAACAGAAAAATAATACTTACAAGTTTGGTAATGGGATCTAACGCAATAATGCATCCTGGCCTTGCTGTTGATTGTTGACTGACGATGTTAAACACTTCACCAACATATTTCTGTTTTTTAAAAAATTGATATCTCCTTTACTAAACAATAAATTCAAAAGTAATTAAAAGCAAATAACATGAATTTTTAGGCATAACAGATAAATAACAATTAAGTTCAAGTGAGACTAAATACAGTTCCTTTCAACAATCAACATTCTAGGATTTTACCTTAAAAGGAATTACTTAGGAACAAATAACAGTGACAGCTCAATTGATACAGACAAAAAATAAAAACACTGCTTGTAATTTTTAGGGGGAAAATATTTTATATCCATGAATGTGAAATACTAAATTAAATGTCCTGGATATGTTCTAAGAAGCAGTGCGTTTTTTTTTTTAATATTTATTCTTAAGTTTTAGGTGGACACAATATCTTTATTTTACATTTATGTGGTGCTGAGGATCGAACCCAGTGTCTTGTACATTCTAGGCGAGCACTCTACCACTGAGCCACAACCCCAGCCCCAGAAGCAGTGCTTTTTAAGTATTAAATTTGTGGGAAAGACATAGCTAAAGAAATAAGCTGACACACTACCTATATATGCTGATTTTTTAAGCCTCTTAAACACCGACTGCTCTAGTCAAGTTCACTCTGCTAATTGTGGTCAATATTCCTAACTTGATCTGTCCATAAAAGCATCTATCTAATCCTGCTGTTCATTTTCTTCTCTGAAACACTTTCTTTATTTGGTTTCTAATATATACCACATTCATACTACTTTTAACAATGGAATGCTCTAGCATTCAATACTTCTATCATTTGCTCCCTCCCTCCACAATTTCATCAACTTCTACAACTTTAAATTTATCTACCAACAACTTCTTAATTTATATCTTTAGGCCTCACCTCCCTCTAAACTCCAGAGACCAGTACTGGGTATCTTGGATGTCAAACAGGCATCTCAAAATTAGCATGCACAAAGTCAGGCTCTTGACTCTCCTTGCCCCTCAAAAAAATGCTCATGAAAAATTCTTCATTTCAACTCATGACAAGAACTGAGTATTTCTTTGTCTTTATTCTTTTTCTTATGATTTTATTGGTGCATTATAACTATACATGATAGCGGGATTCATTATTATATACTCATGCATGGGGACACAATATAATAATATAATTTGGTCAATATTGGTCCCTATAATTTCCCCTTTCCCTCCCATCCTTCCACCCTCTCATCTTCTTCCTCTGCTCTATTGGTCTTCCTTCTATTTTTTTTTTTTTGAGATCTCTCCCATTCCATCGATTATTTTTTCCATTTTCCTCTCTAGAATCTGTGTGTGGAAAACCCTTTATTTTCTGAGCCTGAATTAGTTAACATGATATATATTTATATATGTATATATTAATATCCATAATGATTATATATTATGGATATTAATATAAATATATAGTTCCATCCATTTTTTTTTCCTGCAAATGACATTTTATTCTTTATGACTGAATAAAACTCTGTTTTGTTTTTTTTTTTTCTTTTTCTCTTTATTCTAGTACTGAGGATTGATCCCAGGGGCGCTTAATCACTGAGCCACATGCCCAGCCCATTTTTGTATTTTATTTAGACACCAAGTATCGCTGAGTTGCTTAGGGCCTCACTAAGTTGCTAAGGCTCACTTTGAACTTATGATCTTTCTACCTCAGCCTCCTGAGCTGCTAGGATTACAGGCATGCACCTGGCTCCATTGTATTTTTATCCATTTGTCCAGTGACAGTCACACTGGCTGATTCCATAGTTTGCCTATTATGAATAGTGCTGCTGTGAACATGAGTACACATGTATCACTATAGTATGTTAACTTTAATTCTTCAGGATAAATATAGAGGAGTGGTATAGATGGGTCATATGATAATTCCATTCCTAATCTTTTGAGGAACCTCCATACTGACTTCCACAGTCATTGCACTTATTTAGAATCCCACCAACAGTGTAGAAGTATTTCTTTTTGCCCACATCTTCTCCAGCATTTATTATTGTTTGTATTGTTGATGACTGCCATTCTAACTGGCAAGAGATGAAATCTCACTGAAGTTTTGGTTTGCATTTCTCTAACTGTTAAAGATGTCAACATTTTTTCATGTTTGTTGTTCATTTGTACTTTATCTTTTGAGAAGTATCTATTTAATTCATTTACCCATTTATTGATTGGGGTTTTTTTTGGGGGGTAAATTTTCTGAGTACTTTATACATTATGGATATTAATCTTCCACCAGAAGAGTACATAATAGGGGCTGGGGCTGTAGCTCAGTGGCAGAGAGCTTGCCTAACATGCATGAGGTTCAATCCTCAGCACCACATAAAAATAAATAAATAAAATAAAGGCATTCTGTCCATCTATAAGTACAAAAAAAATTTTGTTTTAAAAGCAAATAGCAAAGATTTTCTTACATTCTGCAGGTTCTCTCTTCACATCAACTGTTTTCTTTTTTTAATATTTATTTTTTAGTTGTAGTTGGACACAATACATTTATTTTTTTAATTTTTATGTGGTGCTGAACATCAAACCCAGGGCCTCACATGTGCTAGGCAAGCATTCTACCGCTGAGCCCCAGCCCCAGCCCCTCAACTGTTTTCTTTACTCTGAAGAAGCTTTTTAATTCTATGCCACACCATTTATTAATTCTTGGTATTATTTCTTGAACTTTAGGAGTCTGATCAAGGAAGTTGGAGCTTGTGTCTATATGTTGGAGTGTTGACTCTACATTTCCTTCTAGGGATTGCATAGTTTCTGGTCTAATTCCTAAGTCTTTCACCCATTTTGAATTACTTTTGTGCAGTATGAATGATAGAGATCTTGTCTCATTTTTCTACGTAGATTACTATTTCTTTTCAGCACCACCAGGGTTTTTTTTTTTTTTTTTTTTTTTTCCTCTAACATGTTTTTGGCACCTTTGTGAAGGATCATCTAGATGACTATAGATCTGTGGGTTTGTCTCTGTTCTGTTCCATTGGTCTATATGTCTGTTATAATGTTTTCATGTCACTACCATGCACTGTTAGTTTCTATAGTTCAATAGTGTAATTTGAAGTTAGGTACTTTGATAACTCAAGAATTGCTTTTCTGGGGCTGGGCTTGCGGCTCAGAAGTAGAGTGGTTGCCTAGCGTGCGTGAGGCACTATGTTCGATGCCCAGCACCACATAAAAACAAATAAAGGTATTGTGTCCATCTACAACTAAAAATACATGCACACACACAAACACACACACATATAAAGAATTGCATTTTTGGCTTAGAATTGCTTTCGCTGTCTGGGTCTTTTATCCTTCCATATTAATTTTAGGACTGTTTCATTTTTTTTTACTCATTGTGTGAAGGATGTCATTGGTATTTTGATGGGGATCACATTGCATCTGTAGATAGTTTTTGGTAATAAGGCTATTTAATAATATTAAACTCTATTTAGTAATGTTTATTAATTTAATAATATTTATAATGTTAATTATTCATTTAATAATATTAATACCAATAATATTATTTAATAATATTAGTTCCATGAATGTGGGTGGTCTTTTTTTATTGGTTCTTTTTGGTAATACATGACAGAATTCATTTTGATATAATTATATAAGCATGGAATATATTTTATTCTAATTGGGACTCCATTCTTATGGATCTACATGATGGTGGGATTCACTATGGTGTATTCATGTATGTACTTAGAAAAATTATTTTGGATTCATTTCATTGTCTTTCCTTTTCCTATCCTTTTTCCCCTCCATTGATGCCCCTTTGACTAATCTACTGAATATTTATTCTCCCTTTATTATCTTGCTCATATCAGCAAAAAGATTCAACCTCTGGCTTTTTGGGGACTGGCTCATTTCCTTAGCATGATAATCTCCAGAGCCATACATTTACTTGCAAATGTCATAAAGCCATTCTTCTTTATGGCTAATACTCCATTGTGCGTATATACCACATTTTTTAATCCATCCATCTGTTGAAGGGCATCTAGGTTGGTTCCATAGCTTAGCTACTATTAAGTGAGCTGCTATAAACATTGATGTGGCTGTGTCACTGTAGTACAATGATCTTAAATCCTTTGGATATTAACTACCAAGGAGTAAGACAGCTCGGTTGAACAGTGGTTCCATTTCTAATTTTTTGAGGAATCTCCATACTGCTTTCCAGAGTGGCTGCACCAATTTTCAGTCACACCAGCAATGTATAAGTGTACCTTTCTCCCTGAACGTGGGGAGTCGGGGTGGGGGTCGTTCCAGCTTTTAGTATCTTCTTTAATTTCTTTCTTTAGTGTTCTATAATTTTCAATGTAGAGGCATTTTACCTCCTTGCTTAGATTTATTCCTAGGATTCCCTCATTCCCCAGCCTGAGGCTATTCTGAATGGAATATTTTTCCTGATTTCTTTTTCAGTGAATTCATACTTGTGTATAGAAAAACTATTGATTTTTGTATGTTGCCTTTGTACCCTGCTAAAGAACTTAAGAATAGAATACTTTACCTAATGCTAAATTCCCACAATCCATGGCAGTCACCCTTTTTACTCACATTCATTCATATCCAGTTCAATTCTGACTACTCAATGTTCAAAACATATTCAGAATTTCAATTCTTATCTCTATCATTACTACTTGCTACCATTCTAAGTCCCTTTACTCTCACCTGAACCAATTTCCCAAATTGGTTTTCTCTGATTTCACTTCTGCTTCACACATCTAATCTATGTAGTTACCAGAATTTCATATCACCCAAATCCTACCACCCTATCATTTTCTTCAATGGTTTCCACATTATTCATAGTAAAAGCCAAAGTTTTCACAATGGACTACAAGGGCTTACCTGGTCTGGCCAGGCTAACTTCCTGAACTTACACCTGACTACTCTTCACCTCACTTTCTCTACTCTAGCCACAATGATCTACTTGCTGTTTCTTTACATAACCAACATACTCTAGTTTCTAAGTCTTTGAGTTGGCGATCCCTCTTCCTGGATCTCTCTTTCTTTAACCACATATCCAGCTCCCTCATCTCCTGCAGGTCTTTTCTCATATGGTATCTTTTCTGTATATATTTTTACCTGACTCGTCTCCACCCCTGCACCACCATCTCTCTTCACTAGAATATAAGGGTATCTGTTTTGTTCATGACTAAATTCCCAGCACTTAAACAATGCATAACAAACAGATAATCCTTAATAAATATATATTTCTACTGTAACACTATGTATTTGTTTTGGAAAACTTTGCCTTTTCCAAAATCAGGTATTAAAAATAATTTATAGAAGAAACGGGATTAAGGCAGACCATTGACTGCAACTTTGTAACTCAAGCATTAACAAGTGCATTAATTTCTAGCTCAGAAGATGGCTTGGAGCTCCTAAACAGGAAGCTCACGTAGAACTGAAGGCTGCCTCAGGGGATGTTCAAAAAACACCAAAACCAAAAAAAGTAGAAATGCTTGCTTAACGGACACAATATAGTTGACAGGCTGCTATTAGTTAGGCATAGAAAGAAGTGTGGCCTCTCATAAAGCAAAAGCTTTGCAATGCTATCAAAAGAATTCCTCCCTAAACCATAACCATGCTGAGGGCTTTTTATTTTCATATATAGCAATTTTTAACTTTTTTTTCTAGACTAGTAAAGTGTTTGCTGAACTGTCAAAAAGAAATATTATGCATTAATTTAGACTAATAAATTTTAACATATATTCCATGCATCCTAATCTTATACCAAAGACAGTTTGGTAATAAATGGTTTTAAGTAATGGTAGCAGGATTTTTATTTTTAAAAAAGCTTTACATAATGGTCACACCCTACATTTTTGCAAAACATACTGTCATAAAATCTGCAACAATTATGAAGTAAAATATGGCAAACATCATATTAAACACTTAAACTATTTAAAAAGACAGTACTCACAGAAATTTCAGGGTTGGAAAGCTCATATAAAAGTTTCTTGGCATCAATTACTGCTTCATATAACCTCAGATATTGTCCATCACTAGCCACAAAGCATGCACTAGGAGAGTTGCAGTATGCACCTACAAAGCATTTACAAACATTTAAAATTTACCCCTTTGGTCATAATGTCAAAAAATCTAAATTAGTGAAATAAAAATAGAATGCTTACCTAGACAATAACTGGGTATAAGAGTAGGAAGCCACGCCACATTGGAAAAGGCAGAAACATGAAGAGAATTAATCCAGGCAAGCTCAGACACTCCTCCAGAAAAAGACAATGGCCCAACCGGATCAACCCTCCAAAGAATAAGCTCACTATAAACTGCATTGGGATCCTGAAATGCCATATCACCAGTGCTTTTATTTTGTTGTGTCAAAGAATATTCTTCAATATTTACAGAATCATGAGGTTGCTTTTGGTTATCAACATCTGGTGTCCTTAATGCATTATGGTGTGACGTTGTCAATAATAATGGTAATACTGAGTGGCAAGCTAAATCATTAAGATGAAAACGATGACCACAATATCTGGATTTGTGAGAAATACTAAGAACTGTAGAAAAAGCAGATTCCTCAGCAAAACTGACCAGCCACTGATTTAGAGAACCATCAGCATGCTTTGAAATCATCATAACATTAGGGGTAAAAATACTTAATTTTAAACTATTAGATGATTTGTTGTGACCAGAAGAGATAAGCATTGATGTGGAACGAGTGAGGCCAGAAGGTTTTTGTTTCCCCTGCTGAATAGCCAAGTCCACATTCTTGGTACAGGCATACATTACTATGCTTTTACAGAGAGAGTTCGCATCACCTGTGGGGAAAGCTACAGGAATTCTGGAAACAAAGGACACCTAGAATTAAGAAAGAAAATATTAGAACATATAAAATTATATACAGAGATACTATAAAACAAGAATATCTCCATAGATATTACAGTAATAGTACCTGTACTTGACGAAACATACCAGGCTGGTATTCATCCAGCCAATCTACATGCCAAACTAGTAAAGAACCATCCATGGGATGAATACTGAAAAGCATGTCTGCATTTTTATTCCATTCAGACAGAAGTACTTCAATCTGATGATCAATGGCAGCTGATGGTAATGGTGTAAAACTTGAGTTTGATACTATTTTATCACCACCCAATTCCTTCTTGTCATGAGTTATTTTCAGATCATCAATACCATCATCCATCTCTATAAGCAAAAAGAGTTCATGAAACAAGTAAAGAATAGCTTTATAAAAGTATTCAAGAGAAACATAGTTTTTATATTAACAAACATAGGCTGCCTCTTACCAACAAATTTGCTCCATGGATATAAGGTCACTGAATTTGACTAATAAGAAAGCCTATAGAACTGAGTCAAGTAGTGAGCAAAATGAATAATACTGAACTAGAAAAGTGGAAAATTGGATTCTAAACACAGATATTCTACAATTAGCACTCAGGTTAATTTCACTAAGATACACTACAACTTTAGATCTCAGTTTTACTCATGGTAAAATGAAAGTTAGAACTGGGACCACAATTCTGGGGCTGAATTTTTAAATACACTATTTTATTTGTATTTTCTTCACCATTAGATCAATACAAACTTGAGTATGCCACACTAGTCGTCTAGGTATATACACTTGTAACTGACATGATATCTTAACTATTTTAAAGGAATCACAGGACCCAATTTCCAGAAATCCTTCAACATGTTAGTAACTTAAAATAAATTTGTTATTATCATTTCTTTTGAAAATTTCAGCCCTTAAACACTCCCCTTAATTAAAAGAAAAATATATATGCATATATATGTGTGTGTGATATGTGTGTGTGTGTGTGTGTGTGTGTATACATACATACACTTTAGTTGTAGATGGATACAATACCTTTATTTTATTTATTTATCTTTATGTGGTGTTGAGGATCAAACCCAGAGCTTCATACATGCTAGGCATGTGCTCTACCACTGAGCTACAACCCCTGCTCTCCCCTTAATTCTTGGTTAGAAATACAGAGTCTTTCTTAACATGGTCCCTTAAAAAAAATTTAACTGTTTATCAGATTTATAAAAGATAAAACATATAGCTGGGTGTGGTGACACATGCCTGTAATCCCAGTTGCTCAGGAGGCTGAGGCAGGAGGATCATGGGTTCAAAGCCATCCTCAGCAGTTTAGTGAGGCACTAAGCAACTCAGTGAGACCCTGTTTCTAAGTAAAACACAAAATAGGGCTGGGGACGTGGATCAGTGGTCCAGTGTCCCTGAGTTCAATTCCCAGTACCCAACCCCAGGAATAAAGATAAGACATACAAATCAATTAGAAAATGACAAATTACTCTAAAGGGCAGGGGGCGTGAAAGGTCAGGCATAAAAGAATTAAAACAAAATATATTCACTCATTCTGTTCAACTTGCATCAAAGAAAATACAAAGTAAAAGGATGCCCTTTTTCCCTTTTCATCTGATAAAAAAACCATAATGAAATGATAATGTCAAAAGGAAGCACAAGAGGATATTTGGATACAGTTAGAGAAACTATAAACTGACAAACATTACTGCTGGGCCATTTGGCAGAACTTATTGATATTTAAAATATATATACTCCCTGGTAATTCCACATCTAGGAGTTTATATTATAGAAAAATTCACACAACGAAGAAATGATGTGTCACTGTACTACAATTAATACAGTGACAAACTATTTAGAATTAAATAGTTATCAGTAAAGAAATCAAAGTTTTTCTTAGTTACAGAAAAACAAACAATAAGATAGAAAACTGCCTATTAAATAAAACAAGTTGCAAAACATTATTTTTGTTTACATGAATAACCATAGTACTATTTTAAAAACAAAACAACAACAACTAGGCAAGTATGGTGGTACACACCCAAATTCCAGCAACCACAGAGGCTGAGACAAGAGGATCACAAGTTCAATGCCAGCCTTAGCAGCTCAGTGAGGCCCTAGGCAACTTAGCAAGCAAGACACTGTCTCAAAATAAAAAATAAAAGGGGTGCTGGGGATGTGGCTCATTGGTAGAGTGCTGACTTCATATGCATGAAGCACTGAGTTCAATCCTCAGCACCACAGAAATAAATAAATAAATACATTTTAAAGAATTAAAATAAAAAGGGTTGGGGATGTAGCTCAGTGGTAAAGCCCCAGGGTTCTAATCCCAGTAATTTCCCTCCAAAACAAAACAAAACAAAATCCCAACTGCTTATATAAGCATAGATAAAAATCAAACTGGATTGGAAGATAGCTCAATGATAGAGCACTTGCCTAACATGTGCAAGACCCTGGGTTTGATAACCAGTAACAGGAGAGGGGAGGAAGAAAAGAATCAATCTGCAAGGATACCCATAAACTTAATAATGCAAAAACAATAACTGTGCTATTTTATTTTTTTCTAATGATCATGTAAATAAAACTTGCTAAAAAACAAACACATTTATAATCAAGCCTACAGCAGAGATGGATGGCTAAATACACACTGAACATTCATATTCAGTATTGTATTTAGTACTATATATTAGTATTCATTATATATTAGTATTTAGTATTATGTTTTTTTTCTTTTCTTGGTAATGGGGATTGAACCCAGGGTTTCATACATGTTAGGAAAGTGCTTTAACACTGAGTTACATCCAAAGCCCTAATATTTAGTATTAAATTTAGCATATAATGGTTATTCTGTAAGGAACTATATGGAACCCTGTAACTATTTCTGGTCAATGGAATGAGAGTGAAATAATATTTGTCATTTCCAAGTCAAGGTTGAAAAACAGTTATACCTTTCTCTTCTCTCTCTACACCAACTGTAGGCTGAATACAGAGGAATTTAAGATCTTATCTCTCCTCAACTTTAACATGCATACAAATCCCCTGGAAATTTTATTAAATTATAGATCCTGGCTTAGTAAGTCTGTATAGAGCCAAGATTATGCATTTCTAAGAACTTCCCAGGTAATACAAATACTGCTATTCCACAGAAAGTCCTTTAAGTAACAAAGTCCTGGAGGCTGACTAACCCACTAGAGCACAAAACCCTAAATTCTTAAATCACCATATGAAAAAAAACAATTTTTGGAACAGAAATATCTATACCATACTAATAAATGAGTTAGCGCATATTTGCATTATGCCACTGTGATTTTTGAGTTTATTTCTGATAATAGTTTAACCCTAATCTTAAAAAAGGTTATCTTTAACAAATTAAACTTTTAGTCTTAAAGCTTTACCTTCATCAGATTTTATATCTGCTTGATTAGCTTCTTCTACACTGGCCTCAGAAGATGGATGTTCAAAACTTTTTCTAAGTTGCTGTAAAAAGACTTCCATGGACAAAGTAATTTTCACTTAAACTCAGAGATGTAATAGATGGAAGAAGAGGAATGTCTATAAAAAAAATCACAAGATTAAAATTTTTACCAAATGGCATACAAAACATTCATAATTCTTATTTTGATTATTACATATCTTTTGTGTGTCTGAAAAAGTATTTCTCCACTTTTTCTTTTTGGGTACTGGGGATTGAACTGAAGGACACTCGACTGCTTAGCCACATTCCCAGCCCTATTCTGTATTTTATTTAGAGACAGGGTCTCCCTCAGTTGCTTAGTGCCTCGATAAATTGAGGAGGCTATCTTTGAACTCATGATCCTCCTGCCTCTATCTCTGGAGCTGCTGGGATTATAAGTGTATGCACCACTGCCCCTGGACTCTCCACTTTTTTAAAAAAATGCTTTTAATTGTAGATGGACATAATACCTTTATTTTATTTTTATGTGGTGCCTAGGATCGAACCCAGAGCCTCACATGTGCAAGGCAAGCCGCTCTACCACTGAGCCACAACCCCAGCCCCTCTGCTTTTTAATTTAACTTAATTGTATTTTGCTTTGTTTTTTAAAGGATCTTTTTTAGAGCACTTTTAGATTCACAGAAAATGGAGAGAAAGGTACAGAAAGAGTTACATACCCTCAGTTCCCATACATGCCTAGTCTCTGCTATTATCAACATTGTTACATTTGTTAAAATTGATGAACCCACACTGAACATCACTGTCATCCAGAGTACACAGTTAAGGGTTCACTCTTGGTGAACCATTCTATGGATTTGGATAAAGTAATAATAATATTACATTTATCTTAAACCTCTTAAATATCAGTTAACCTATATAAAATCTTATTCAACAGCAATCCTTTTTTTTTATACTGCAGATTGAACTCAGGGGCATTTTATTTTTCATTTTGAGACCTTTTTATTTTTCATTTTGAGACAGTCTCACCAAGTTTCTGAGGGACTCGCTTACTTGCTGATGCTGATATTCTGAGTTACTGGAACTATAGTAGTATACCCTGAACCTGGTTAGCAACATCTTAACAGACTGACACATTAACTTCTGTAATGATCTAACCATCTAAATCTATGATTGATATTATTTATTAGCATCAAGCTGAAGTTAAAAGGTACAAAACTGCGGTTCCCTTCTCATACATAAGGAAAGCATTCAAAACATACCACCCTCAGCTAAAAAAAAAAGTTTCTTGATATTACTTTTGATATAATTGCTATTAAGTATATTGATAAGTATATTAAATCCACTTGGTTATGACAAGTTATCCCTAATTAATGCAGGTAAAGAAAAATCCAAGTCTATCATGTTATATCAAATCTGGATCATGCTGGTACCTGCTGAATGGTAAAGGCTGGAATAGATTCAAGGAATATAAACCATTTTCTCCAAAATAAATCTATTTTTTAAAGAAATAATAAATAATTCAAATTAAATATCTGTTCAAATAATGTGTCTACTGTTAAATACCAACAGAAGAATACTACAGGAAACAAATGGTGAAAGAAAAGATAAAAGAACTGACTGTTCAGTTAAAGGCAAATTCTAACATTCAGTTCAAGAGCTTTTGTTTATTACCTATACATTCCTTAATATAATTACTTGATTAATATTTATCTATCACCTACCTGATTATATACTTCATAACAAAAGTATGATACCCATTTTGATTGCCACTGTGTCTCCAGTTCCTATCACCATTTTTAGTTTCTACACTGGTATAAGTACACAATAAAATCCAGGGCTGGGGATATAGCTCAAGTAGTAGCACGCTCGCCTGGCATGCAAGAGGCACTGGGTTCGATCCTCAGAACCACATAAAAATAAAATAAATATATTATGTCCACCTAAAAGCTAAAAATAAATATTAAAAAAAATTCCAAGAGGAGCTGCCAATCCTATTGTTTCTGGATGTATACAAAGTAGTTCCAGGAACTGAGAAGACATTCCCAAGAAGCTATGGGTAAGATTTTCTTGTATCTGACTTACAATCAACCTAAATGAGATCAGTAATGACTTTTGTGGACCACAGGCCTAGCTACTAAATACACAGAGGGAAGGAATAAAGCTGGGTTTTAGCCGAAAAATTCTAACTAAAAGGAAACTCAAACCTCTTTTATATCCTGACTTCGTTCTAATAATTTGTTTTTCATTTTTATAAGAAATTTTCATCAAAAGGATATGAGATCTAGCACAGACAGAACATGTTCTGTCAAAACCCTCTCCTGTGGCTATTTCTATTGATGGGCAAGTAACTATAATCTAAAAGCTATACTTTAAGTAAGAAATATACCATCCAGAAAGGTCATTCCACCAGACTGAATTTAGGAAAAGGAATTCTCCATAAAGTTCAATCTAGTTGCTAATAATATTATACTAATTTGATCTACTGTACACTTTCCTTAGCAACCTAATATCTAAGGAAAGGTTTTAGAGTTTCCCTTATTAAAAGCTAGTCAAGATGTCACACTGGAACTTAGGGTTCCTTTCTCAGTAACCTCTCAGCTTTTTCCATAGTCTGAGAATTTAAGCTTTCTTAATTCTCAAAATATTGACCCTTTTTGTTGTTTTTAAAATATTTTGTTTTATTTTCTGTGCTAGGAATTGAATCTGAGGTCTTGTGCTTGATACATAAGCACTCTACCACTGAGCTACACTCCCAGCCCAATACTGCCCTTTATTCAGCAAGGACCTTCAAAGTTATTCCATTGATCTTAGAGATAATTTTGTATTATATCCATTGTCAACATATTTTTGATAAAAGTCATGACCTTTCCCAATCCTATATAATTTTTTAATGAAGAAAATTCAATAGTCTCCCATTTTCTTCATTCATGGATTCCTTTACAGCTCCACTGGTGTTAACCAAATAAAAGCTAAGAATATTGGAAAAACTTTTCAAGTATCTCTATACTTTGACACAGCATAGCACTTGTCACTTTGCTGAACAAAATTCTAATCAAGTAACTAATGAATCATACTTATTGCTATGTTTCCTTGAAGAATGCCATATTGTAATTTCCAACTAAGGCTTAATTGATGCTTAAAATATCCCACAGCATACAAAAATTAGTAGTTCTTTTCTAGGGAGAGAGATGGGAGTTTGGATAGCCGTGAAAAGAAGCTTTTACTTTTCACTTTTGTACAAATGACATTTATCATGCAGAAATATAGTCTTTTAATTCTTTTTCAAATAATATTCCAAAGTTCCACTTAAGAGCTTCAATTGTGATCAATGGATTTTATACATGACAACACTATTTACTAAAAAGGGAAAAACACTTAATTTCCAAATTTATAGGTAGACCCAGATATTCTAGATCTTTCAGTCTGCCTATTAATACATACTTAACTATTGAGATAAGTTTTGTAATTCTTCCAATTATAACTTTTACATTGTTTCTTACCCACTTGTGAAATGACTCCAAAGATAAAGCATCAAACAATAGTTTTAACAACTATAATTATAAAATATTACTTTTGTGGTATTAACAACTATAGCTCAAATCTCAACTTTTGAAAAAAAATTAATAATGAATTAAGATTTTATATCATAAACCAAATCATGGCCTTAAAAAGCAAATAATTAGAAACCAGTGGACTAGCTATAATGAAAAACTGGCAAAGTCAGTTACCTCCAATGTTTTATATATTCAAAAACTAAAAGTATAGCTTACTTGTTATAAAATCAATCTCAAAAACATGTTTTGAGCTATGCTTTACTACCTGTAGCTGGGTTGATGCTAGCTGCAATATGAAAGTGGCAAAGTGCATTGGCATGCAGTGGAGTGTTCCTGTGGACATGATGAGGATCTTGCTGATGAGGCAGATAGCCAGTATGTGCTACAAGTGCAAGTGATCTCCTCCGACCTCTACGAAAATGTCTTAGATTTACCTGTGTGAATAAAAGCAAAGTAAAATTAATGCCTATATTGTATGTGTAGTCTGCATCATAACTGTTATTTGAAGTTACATATACCCTATTTCCAATAACTTTATTTGTAAAAAAAATCTTTCAATATTTTAATAGCATATTTGAATCCTGAAGAATAACATTAAAACTTAAAGGGCATGAGTTCCTCTCTCAAACTCTACACAACACTTTGCAATTTTTATTTGGTTTATTTTCTTAAAATTAATTTCCTGAAAAAAAATCATTTTTTCAATAATGTGTCTATAAACAATGTCTTTATGTACACAACTTTGTCTGCAGCTTACTCCCTGTGACCAGGAAGCTTTGGATATTACCATAATACATTAGAATATTTATTAATTTACAGAATATTTTCATCAACATCATCTCATCTGATCCCATGAGGGAGACAGTACAAATATTGTCATTCTCATCTTTTGTATGATAAAACAGTTTATGTAGAACCCAAGCTAATCTAGCTAACAAGAGGCAGAGCCAAAGTAGAAAAACTCTTCAGATTCCTAGGGTAGGACTTCTTTGAGCTATTATTATACACAATTCTATGTGCTGTTGAGTGTACAATGAAATATACATTTACTTACACTCGGAAATATTAGAATACTATTCAGATTTGAAAGAGTTGTTCCATAATCATATAAAGCATCCAAAGATAAACCATTTGTTTTCAATATGAGTCTGTCTTGTTATTCTATCTTTAATCAAATCAAACATCAAAAGTTGACTTTTACTTTCCAAACTAATTAAAGACTCTAAGTTTTGGTGGTTCTAAAGACAACAAGTGATAAGAGTAAGATAAACTAGTCTACCACAAGTTCTAAGAAAGAGGAAATAAATTATTGTTACAGTTAAATCTTAGCATTCTTCTATTTTAATTTACTTTGTTAACTCAGCTAAGTCAATTATCATCAGCTTTTTGTTATCATCAGTTATGCGATAATTAATTGGTTTTATGCTCCATACAAAGTCCTTAAGAATGTTTTTGGAACAAGATAAAACAAAAATTTGTGAAAATTATTTTCCTAAGACACAGATTTCTTATATTACTGTTACAAAAATGGCAGTGTACAAAGTTTTTAAAATTCAAAGGAAATAATCTCTAATAAAAACACTCACTTCTAAAGCATTTTGAACTCGTTCTTTACTGGAAGTATTTCTCTTGAAGTTATTTGTTAAATTAATTGGTTCCGACCAATGATTGCAGTCACCTCCATATAGCAAACAATCATTTGGTAAAAATGTCTCTACCCAAAGACGACACACATTATCTTTGCAGCAAGTCAACAGTACATTACATACAGACGCCCTAAGAAATAAAAAGATTTTAGAGGCAAGAATACAAGTTTCACACAATATCATAAATACTCTACAAAGTTCTATAAATAAACATACATAACTAATAAAACTACAAAAAAGTCAACATATATGTAGATTTTATCACCATAAATGCTTGCCGACCTATTTCTTTTCTGCCTAGAATTCAGTAATTCTTGTTTCAATAATCTAAGATTCTTCTTGCATTTAAAGAACAAAGACCAAGATCAAGCCATAATTCCTTAGCTGATAACAAAAAAATTATATCATCTAATAAAATTTTCTGATTTATTTAGTGGATGGTTAATACTTTAATTATTTAATAATGCTTCAGTTTTACTTTCTTTCTTTTTTTTTGGAAGGGGGTTTAACTTGGGATTGACTTTCTGTAATGGAACCTACACACTGGTCACTAACAGGCTACAAAAATTATTTGTATATTTATTCTCTCCTTGCCTATCTATACCTAAAGCAATTGAGAACAAGAAAACTCATGATAAATCAACACTCCATTGGCCTTCCTTATTCTTGACTTTCAGTTCATTCCTTCCTGTGACCTCTTTCAAAATAAAAATAAATTATACATATATTTAAAAAAACTCTAAACATCAAGGTGCAGAGGATTGAATTCGTATCAATAAAGATTTCCTTCTATCAGGTAATTCAGTAAGTTTAGAAAAATGAAAGAAAAAGACATAATACCTTGTAGAAAGTACTTGTTCCAAAATATCTGGCTAAAACCAACAATCAATAGAAGGCTTTATCAGATAACTCAGTGGGGTTATAGTTCAGTGGTAGAGCATTTGCTCAGCAAGTGCAAGGCCCTGCTTCTCCTTCCTTTCCCCACCCTGCCTCCAAATTTTTTTCTCGATCCCTCTCCTAGCCTCCCTTCCTCTCTGTTTCTAATATATTCATATATACACAGACTATGGCAATGAAATTAAAAGTAAAGTCCAAGGTTTACATTGTCAATAAGTAATTGGTAAAATGAAAAGGCTTATTAAGGAACAGCAGAAGGTAATGATTAAAGAACAGCAGAAGGTAGTCATTAAAGAACTGAATCAAAAGAAGCATAAGAACTTAGAAGCAAAATAGCAAGGAAATAAGGTCACAATTCAGAAGCAAGGAGAGGGCCAAGAAGCTGAAGTGTAGGTAGCCCCAGGTAAAAACCCTCAGAATATCTTATAGACATTCAATGTGAACAACTGGCAAGAGGTATAAAAAAGGCATGGTGGGACTACCCTGATCTGTTTGAGACATTACCCTGGCAATATCTTTCTTCCTCACTTCTTTACAAAGGTATCTTATCTTCATTGGCATATTGTGTTAATATATAGCAGCCTCCAAAACAACAACAACAACAACATCAATAGGTATAACCATGTGATGAGTAGGGGTCCCTAACACCTGTTTTACTTTAATGTAACAACAACCGAAGATGATTTTGAAACTTGATACCTGCAACAAAGTCTTGGAGGTTCTTGCGGGATATCATTAAAATTCTCAACCTGTCTTATATTTATCAATTTTTAATTAGTAAAAAAGTAAATGCTCATCATAAAAACTTGCCCATTCTTTCTCAATCCATCAGTCCCTTTACATACATTAGTCACTGTGAGGGAATCTTTATTTTATATAGAAAAACAAAACAACTGAAGCCAGGTATGGTAATGTGAACCTGTATTCCAGTTACTCAGGAGGCTGAGACAAGAGTTTAACTTGAGCCCATGAGTTCAGAGCCAACCTGGGCAACACACACAGTCTAAAAAACCAACAAACCTAACTGTATCATCCAGTGAAAATGACATGTCAGAAAAAGTAACAGTCTTTGATGGGACCACATTCATTCTCTTGAGAAAGGGTCAGCCTTCCCACAATATACTTAAAGGCAAGCTGGTAAACAAAAATGAAAACTAAAAACCTCAGAGATTAGCTGTTTTCTAAATGACAAAAGTTCAAAAGTGAAATTCAGGGAGCTTCCGAAAAAATGTAGGGTTGGTGATAACAACTGGGGTCATTCTAACTTTTAAAACTAAGTTAATATTTTGTCATGACCTTACTATTCTAAACACATTTTTACATGGGTAAGCAACAGTCTCAGAGGTAACAGAACAATAGTACTCATACACAGTTGGGCTAAGTTTGCTTTTGCTAACACTATAGATTGTTCACACTCTCGTATCCCAAAGAATCTGAAACATTTTCCTAAGAACCGAACTATTATTTTTCCTAGAGTGTCCCTCTTATACCTATACCTTGTTAGACCAGAAGGATGGACAAGAAAAACAGTGTCTACTGTACTATGGCCTAAAAGTCTAGGTATATATTCTACTGGCCCAGAAATAAAGTTAATGAATGATTTAGTTGCAATACCACAGATAGCTTAGGAGGTTTCATAGAACATAGCACACAGATGACAAAATTCAAAAAAACAGTGAAAAACTAAGAGACAAAGTGAAATGGCACAGCCAAGCTGAAAATTGTCATGTTGTACTAAAAAGGATTTCTATCTGTATTTCAGCAACTTATTTAAGTATAGGCAAAAATTCAGTGTGGTATCAAGTCTTCCAAAGACAACAGGAAAGAAAGGAAGTACTAAAAGGTGTATATGTATATGTTAGGGTGTATATATGTATATGTATATGTAGGGTATAGGTTAAACCTATACCCAGTTCAAGGAATGTCCTCAAAGACACTGGGAATAGTCAGGTAAATGCTTGGGAATTCAAGCTATCTCCTCTCAATAAAGATACTATTAAAAAAAAAAAGAAATCTAGGACTGGAGTTGTGGCTCAGCAATAGAGCTCTTGCCTTGCATGTGTGAGGCACTGGTTTCAATCCTCAGCACCATGTAAAAAAATAAATAAATAAACAAAAATAAAGGTATTGTGTCCATCTACAACTAAAAAAAAAAAAAAAAAAAAAAGGAATCCACAGGAGATATATGCTAGAAGGCACAAAACGGGGAAATGAATATGAAAAAGTTCAAACAATAAAAGATGTAACAACTGAACAACACAGAGAAGGAAAAGAAAAGATGCACAACTCTGACATAAGACATATAATATGAAAGCTAATTATCATACCTTAAACTACTTTCACATGGCTCTTATACTAAGCATCAATCATAATTGACTCATAGCCATAGGTATAAATACCAGGGGGTAATAGTACTCTAATCTCATAGGCTCAAAAATCCTATAGCTATGGACTCTCAAAGTTAGAAAAGCAATTCAAATCACAATGACAAAGTTCTCTTAATACACAGGAAAAAAATGAACAATCCACTGACCTAGGCATATATTTGCTTGTTTTACGCCAGGAAAATCCATTTATAGCTCGAGGATGGGCCAGATATACAAAAGAAAAGTCAATTTCTCCTTGGGATTGTTTTTCTGAACTTCCATCTGGAGAGTTAACAGCTGTCCGCCAGTTTTCTACATTATACCATACCTTTAAAAGGCAGTCATCCTACGGGAAAAGAACCAAAAAAAGCCTAGATTAGAATTAAATTTAAGTTAAGTCAAATAGCAAAAGTAGAATTTTCCTTCCCAATGTCAGGAACTTGGAGATGTGAAGAAGTATTAAACAGGACAGAAAAAAATCTCTGATTCTGATAGTTTTCTATTAGCATTCCTTAATTTTAAGAACTGGAGTGGGTAAATGGGTGTATTCTGTGTTCAAGAAAATGCTTGCTAATTACCACACACTATGGAAAATGGAATCATTTGGGAAAGTCTGAAAGATGAAATTAGGGGCTTTTTTTCCTCTTAAGCCAAGAATCATCTAAGAAAGCAATATCACCAGCAGAATTACAAAGACTGCTGATAACTGAAAAAAGAACACTTTTCATTTTCTAAGACTATGCTGACAACAATAGGTAATAAATAATATTACATAAAATATTCTATGTATGACAAAATTTGCTCCTAATTTGAAAAAAATAAGAAAAGAACAAGGGAGACTAGAAAGTACTAGGTGCTGCTTTTAATTGGTAATTTAATTTTTACCTAGAAATCCAATTAAAAAGAACAGTTCAAATTCTCTCCTCTAAAAATAAACATATTTTTCTATGGTTTTACATTGTCTCACACTCAGTGTGCAGAAGGCTTTGGGCCATGGAAACAATAATTTCAGACGACTAGTGCTTCATGAACTGTTCTGTGAACCAATGATTAAAAATAAAATAATTTCAAGAAAAATACACTACTCTGAAATGAACAGATAACAACGAAGTATGTGCACTAAAGAAAAAGCTATAGCTTGTTGATTGTACAACATGTGGAAGGTACTTTATATACACTGTCTAAATTAATTATATATGCCACTTTATATACACAGTTTAAATTAATCCTATGATTAAATGATCTATGAACTAGGTTTTATTATACTATCTTACACATGAGAAAATGAAGGTGCAAAGAGACTAATTTGCCCTATATGATAAAGTTGGTAAAAGGTAGTATACATCTAGATCTGTCTCTGAGTCTAAGGTGTTTCAATTATACCATACTGCCTTTTAACACCATTATATTTAAACAATTTTTGCTATTTAGTTTCTAATACAAAATAATGTTTCAAATTAAATCAATAAAAAAATGAAACTGAATAATGTTCTTAAAGTTTAAAATTAAAGTATAAACACACAATTTGACAATAGCATTTCATGATTTACCTTCCCAGCAGTGGCAAAAAATTCTCCATCTGGTGAAAATTTCATTAAATGAACTTGGGAAGCAGTTCTGAAAATTAAAGATAACGAATAATTTACAAGAAAATTAAATAAGAAAAATTGTAATATTCTCAAAATTATACTTCAGCATGGCTTCAAATAAAAATTTTGTGATAATACAGTTTCACACTCATAATTTTGTTACATTTTCTTTTTTTCTTTTAAGGCACTGGGTCTTGCTGTGTTTTCCAGGGTGGTTCAGAACTCTCAGGCTCAAGTGATCCTCCTGCCTCAGCCTTCTATGTAACCTGGACTATAGGCACACTGGGCCCAGCTACAAAGGTACAACTATCCTTTTTTCAGTGCTGGGACTGAACCCAGGACCCTACACATGCTAAGCACATGCTCTACCACTTTAATTATTATTATTTTTGGTGATCCTGAGATTGAATCCAGGGCCTTGTGCATGTGAGGCAAGCACTCTACCAACTGAGCTATATCCCTAGCCCTCTACCACTTTAAGTGTACCTAAATATGAACAAGTTACTAAGATAAATTTCTTAAAAATGTTTTTTAGTTGTTGATAGACCTTTATTTTATTTACATATTTATATGTGGTGCTGAGAATTGAACCCAATGCCTCACACATGGTCTACCACTGAAACTACAACTCCAACCCCAAGGATAAATTTTAACAACAAAAATACATTCCCTAAGAATCAAACAAGTAATGATTTGTCAAAATCTTTAAAGCGTAAAACAGAAGTCATAGCTTTTATGCCATTAGAGAATTACTTCAATTTTTAATCTGGAAATGTAATTTCTAAAGTCTGGATCACTATATTCTTAAACATATTTTCAAACAATAAACCAGTATTCTAAAATGAATTTGGCCTTCCTTTGGGTAACATTTACTTAATTAATTATGTGTGGGTTAATAGGAGACTTGAAATAATCGTGAATTCAACTGGCCCACTTCATCCATCTACTTGGTATATACTTACCTTTTCTTCTCAAAGGAACTTTGGTTTATACTGCCTTCCCCTCTCGCCCATAGATTGGTCTTAAAAATCCTATCACTGGGCTGGGGTTGTAGCTCAGTGGTAGAGCACTTGCCTAGCTTGTGTGAGGCACTGGGTTCAATTCTCAGCACCACATATAAATAAATGAATAAAAAAAAGGTCTATCAACAACTAAAAATATATATATATATATATATATAATTTTTTTTTCAAAACAGCCTGTCACTACCATTGCTTTCTAGTTTTTTTTTTTCAAAGTCATGCTTAGCTAGATCTGTACTAAACATATTTACAAAGCAGGCCAAGGAGAAATTGTCACATTTCATTTCAAATACAAATAATTTTTTCTAAGTGTAATAAATATGTTTCTAAGTGTAATAAGTGTATGTTAAAGTGTTTTAAATCCTCAGTGTATCTTTTTGTATATCCCAATTGGGATTAACCACATTTCAAGTGTTCAATAGCAATAGGTGGTTAGTAACTACCACACTGGCACTGGTACTCTAAAACATGGAAATTCATTCCCACCCCCCAATCTTTTTGTTTCATTATATAGAAATTCAATTTTTTTCTCCATCTGACACTTATTTTTGTACCAGCTACATAAGAGACTCTAATTTCACTTTGCCCTCTACAGAGCTAATTTGTCCCACTGTAAAATGCTACTTAATATACTGAGTATGCATGCATAATTGAATCAATTCCTGGAACCTAATATCTGTTCCTATACTAACAACAAAATGCTCAAACAGCTATAGCTTTAGAATTCACTTTACTATAATGTATACTCTTATTCCTCTTTATTTTCAGAATTTCCTTGATTTTCCCATTTTGTACTTTCAAATGAAATTTAGAACTATACTCAAAAGTAGAAATTCCAATGGGATTTTCACAAGGTTTACGGTCAACATATAGATTTTTGTTTTCAAGTTTCATTATAGACATTTATTTTAATTTGGTTAATTTCAAATACTCATTGACATCTTGTATACAATTTAAGGCAGAGAAAGAAAAAAAATACATGTCCTTGAACCACAGGCCAGACTGCTAACTGAACTGGGATTAAGATGGTATAATTTCACCTCAGCAATATATATTTAATATTAATAATTAATATTTAAAAAAAAAAAAAGACTTCCAGAGGTGGAGGCTATAGCTCAGCAGCAAAGCACTTGCCTAGCACTTTGTGAGGCACTGGGTTTGATCCTTAACACAACATAAAAATAAACAAATAAAAATAAAACCATTCTGTCCATCTGTAACTACAAAAAAAAAAATGTAAAAAGACTTCCTCACAATTGGAAGTTTTTCATTCAAAAAGTAAGAAAAGTGTCTGGCTTCCTTTGCATAATTTAGCAAATTTCCCATTAATGATCTTCATACAGGCCTTATAAATTTCTTTTATTTCTTTCTAGTTGTTTTGACTTTTTTTTTTAATGGATTTTGGAACATGGGATACAGTGAATTCTTTAGGTACAAGAAAAGGCACGTCACAGACTAAAAAAAAATACCAGTGCCAGTGCAGTTTTACACAAACTAAAATGCATTTATAATATCATAAAACAGGCTTATCAGTTTAATTCCCTAATTAATTGCTTACTTGCAATGCCAAATGCATCTCCAATCCCCAAAGTTAAGATCTGTTTTATCAGGATTTTCACCTTCAGCTGCCTTGTGCAAGTTAGTATTGGACCAGAGTTGCAAACAGTTGGAACCAGTCAAAAGACGACTACCTAAAAAAAAAAAATTATTCATCATGTATTACTTAGGTATTTAATAGTGAGTTCAAGAGATTCACAAAATACTATGAAGATAATACAACTTCTAAAAATAAAAAGATAACTGTGGAAAAGAGAATTTTAATTTTGTTGAAACAGCTTGGAAAAGAAAGATATCTCACTATCTCTCTATTCATCACTTGTTTAAAAAGCGTCTTATTTGTACCATGAATTGTGTTAGGCAATCAGGATACAATGACAAAATATTATCCCTTTGTATGATAAGTTCACATCCTAGTAGGAAGACATGGAAACATTATGATCCAATATAAAGTATTATCAACATGACAGAACTGGGTATAAGATTTTAGGGAAAAATTATACCTATAGTGAAAATAACAGGGAAAGTGATGAAATACAACCTGTGTAGGACAGGCATTTTGGAAAGGAGATCTAATGTGAACAAAGGCCTAAAGGCACACAGCTCAATATATTTTCCCAAAAGTGCCTCAATCTAGTATGGTGAAGAAATAAGGTACATACTAAGGCCAGAAAAATATACAAGGTTTTTGTGTAATAAAATTTTTTAGAGAGAAATTATTAAACATTTTTCAAGTTCATAAGGAGTTCTGGTCTTTGTTAAAAGTAGTTGGGAATAAAATGTTTTGAAGGAAGAGGGGCAAGGTTTACATAATTATACCTGTACCTTAGAATAAGGGGTCATAACTAAAGAGGCAAACAGATGGGCTTAATCTCCCTCCATTGAGATAATATACAAAAGGAGCTCCAAGCCAGCCTGGTCAACACAGTGTAACTCCCACCTCAAAAAAATAAAGAATAAAAAATAACACAGTGTACAAAATAAATAAGGCTGGACATGGTAGAACAGGTCTGTAATGCCAGATATTCGGGAAGCTGATGCTGGAGTGAGGATCACAAGTTTGAGCCTTGCCTGGGCAATATAATAAGACCCTGTCTCAAAAATCATCATCATCATCATCATCATCATCATCATCATCATCATCCCAGGTATAGAATGGAACAAAGGCAAGTAAAGTAACATATGTATATGATTTAAAACATGAAAGACAGAGTGTGGATATTAAAGTACAAAAAAAGGATAAAAAGTTTAAACAGAAAATGTTATTACTTAGGCAAGATGCAATAGTGGATTTGGGGACACTACAAAGAGTTTACTATCTGAAAAAAAAATGTATGCCTTAATACCTGACATGCTATATATATAGTAAGTAAATATTAATCAGGACCAAAATATTAATTTCACTTAAAATATTTTATATCTGTTCATAAATAATTATGTACAAGGTTAATTTATAAAATTACTAATATACTATGAGCTCCCAAATATTTATTGTAGGAATAACCCATTTCACAACGAAACCACTAAAAAGAAAAATAAAGAATTATTACATGTAAATTTTAAAAGATTAAAAAGATAATCAACAGTCATAAGCTGTTGATAAGCCACTACCAGAAATGTTAAGAAAACAAAGATATTGTACTATAAAAATGATTTTAAGAGAAATTTAACATTAATATTATCCTCTGAAGCATTAGTATGACAAACAGCAAGTTCAGATTCCAAGCTTAAAGAAATATCACTGAGTTCAAATATTAAATGTTTTTAATATAGTTATGAGATAACCATTCTTGATTTTTAAGTAATCTGTTCATAATTACAAAACTAGCAATATGTCAACATTTATTGAGAGCTGAATATATGCTGTGAAGACAAATAAAACACTAAACAAATTAGAATCTCTGCCCTTGTCTAAATTTTAAGAAAGTAAACAGTAATTATGATAGATTGGATACACTGGAGTGAGACAAAATCTCAGTGTAGTTTTAATTTGCATTTTGCTAAATGCTAGAGATGATAAACATTTTTCATATATTTGTTAACCGATCCTATTTCTTTTTCTAGTAAGTGTCTGTTCAGTTCCTTTACCCATTTATTAATTGGGTTATTTGCTACAACATAATAATTATATAACTTATCATCCAAACAAAAACGTTTTTAAGGTAAAGGCCAAACTGTCCATAATTATATAAAGACAACAAGCATAAACCAGAACAAAAGTCACACTACCCATATAGAGTTGTATACAAAGGGCTGTATTAAATGACAAATTTGAACCCAGTTTGAACCTCTTTTTATTGTGAACATAAAATATACATGTAGTGCTGTAATTTGGATGTGGCTTGTCTACCAAGAATTCATGCGTTTGAGGTTTGGTCCTCAGTGTAATGGTGTAGAGGCGGTCATAATTCTTTTTTTTTTTTTTAATTTGCTCTTATTACTTATACATGACAGTAGAATGTATTTTGACATATTATACATATATGGAGTACAATTTTTCATTCTTCTGGTTGTACATGATATAGAATTACACTGTTGTATAATCATACATGCACATAGGAATGTCTGATTCTTCTACTATCTTTCCTGTTCCCATTTCCCCTCCCCTTCCCTTCATTGTTCTTTGTCTAATCCAAAGTATTTTTATTCTTCCCTACTCCCAAATTGTGAGTTAGCATCCACACATAAGAGAGAACCTTTGGCCTTTGGTTTCTGGAAACTGGCTTATTTCACTTAGCATGATAGTCTCCAGTTCCATCCATTTACCAGGAAATATCATAATTTCATTTCTTTTTAGGGATGAATAGTATTTCATTGTGAATATTTACCACATTTTCTTTATCCATTCACCTCTCGAAGGGAACCTAGCTAGGCTAGTTTCATAGTTTAGCTGTTGTGAATTGAAGTTGCTATAAACATTGATGCAGCAGCATCACTATAGTATGCTGATTTTAAGTCCTTTGGGTATAAACCAAGGAGTGGGATAGCTGGGTCAAATAGTGGTTCCACTTTCAGTTTTCTGAGGAATCACCATACTGCTTTCCTGAGTGGTTGCACCATTCTGCAGGCCCACAGCAATGTAACTTTTTCCCCACATCCTCGCCAACTTTTACTGTTACGTGTATTTTTGATAATTGCAGTTCTGACTGGAGTGAGATAAAATCTTAATTTGCATTTCTCTAAATGCTAGATATTATGAACATTTTTCATATATTTGTTGACCTATTCTATTTCTTTTCTTGTGAAGTGCCTGTTCAGTTCCTTTGCCCATTATTAAGTGGGTTATTTGATTTTCTTGTGTTAATCTTTCGAATTCTTTATATATCCTGGAAAAATATTTTCTCCCATTCTGTAGGCTCTCTCTTCACATTCTTGATTGTTTCCTTTGCTGTGAAGAAGCTTTGTGGTTTGATTCTATCCCATTTGCTGATTCTTGATTTTACTTCTTGTGCTTTAGGAGTCTTGTTAAGGAAGTTGATTCCTAACAACTTCCTAAATTTGACATGATGTAGATTTGGGCTATTAGGCACAGGGTCTCTGATCTAATGCCTAAGTCCTTGATGAGGTGGTCAGAACTCTAAGAGGAGAAGCTCAGTAGAAGGTCACTGGAGTGCTACCCTCAAAAGGGATTAAGATAATTCTTGTGAGATCCCTTGGTTAGTTTTCACAAAAGGGTTGTTATAAAAGGAATAGGCCTGGCCCCTATACATTGCTTCGGCTTCTTGTCTTGTGATCTCTCACTTCTATAGTGGCTCCAGCCATGACGCCATTAGGCTCTTACCAAAGCTAAACTATGGACTTTCAGCCTCCAAAACTGTGAGCTAAATAAATCTCCTTTTATAATTATCCAGGCTCAGGTATTTTGTTACATAACAACAATAAAAAAGGATTAAGACAGGCAGGTTACCAGCTAGTAATACTCAATCTTACAAACTCATGCAAAGAAGTGTTTTAAAATGCTGTATGACATAAAAATTCTCAGAGAATATGTACATCTTTTATCTTCTAAAATAATTCCAGAGGTTCTTAATCAACATTTTTCTCAGCTGCTTCACTTACTATATTGTAAAAACTAAAATTATCTCTTCTATTTAAGCTTATGGCTTTTATGTTCCAAAGACACCTATGGTCTAGATTACAGTTTCTATTATCATATGACATGCAAGCATTTCAAATTGTACATGTCCAAACAATATCTATGTATCACTATTTCCAATACCTATATATCATTCTTCTAGTGGTCACAGATATTTTCAAAGTAATCTCAAATCCAGTTGTCAAGTAACGTCAGTTCAGTTGCCTAAATGCATTTCAAATCCATGTGCTCCTTCCATTATTAATTCATTTAATATTGAGTACCTACTAGGTAAGGCACTGAAACAAATCACCTCTCATTCATTTAGACAACTGTGAATGCATCCTACCCCAAGATCACTCTGCCTCCTATTCCTCCTACCTTAGTCTAACACACTGCTAATAGACCAATCTTAAAAAACAATAAATTTTAACACAGCACTGTCTCTTTTGAAACCTGTAATAGTTTTCAGGGTTGGGGGTATAGTGGTAGAGTATGTGTCTAGCATGCATGAGGCCCTGGGTTTCATTCCCAGAACTACAAAAAAACAACCAAACAAACAAGCAACCAAAACAACCAGTACCACCACCACAATCACAACAAAAAAACCCTATAATAGTTTTTAGAAAATTAAAAAGAAATAGGGCTAGGTGTGTAGCTCAAAGGTACAGAATGTGCTTAGCATGCACAAGGCCCAGGGCTCAATCCCCTGCACAGGCACATGTGTGTGTGCACACACAAGCACAAATTAATTAATTAAATACAAATTCCTCAGGATGACTTTAAAGGTCTTTCATCATAGACTATAGTTTTACCATCATTCACTGAGGCTCACTGCAGCTCCAATGAAGTGCTGATACATACTAGAATATATCTATGCTTTCTTTTCGTGCTTTGCTAACTGTGGTAGAATGGTAACAACCATTTTCAAAAATCGTGTTTCCTTATGTCCATGCCCCTTGCAACATGATTTCTCCACACCTTTCATCGAGAGATGGATTTTATTCCTCCATCTCCTGAATATGGACTGGACTTTAATTTACTTTGACCATATAATGTAGAAGGAGTAACATTCTGGGACTTCCAAGCCCAGGCTTTAGCAATTCTTGCAGCTTGTGTTTTCACATTGTAAATCCAGCCACCATGTAAAATCTAGGCTACCTTGTTAGAGAAGCCATGCAAAAGAAACAGGCCACAAGAAAAACAAAGGTATTCCAGAAGATAGCAATCAGCAAGGCCCATATATATCAATGAAGACTTTCTTGGATACTCCAGCCACAGACAAGCTACTTCAGATACTGCATGGAACAAGAGATAAGCCATTCCCATAGAACCCTGTAGTAATTCCTGATCCACAGAATCATAGGCAATAAAATGAGTGATGCTTTAAGCCAGTAAATTTTGGCATAATTTTTTAATACAAAAGTAACTGAACATAGGCCTGATGGTCTCATCTTAAAATTTTCTTCTTTTTCCTATTCCATCTACCGTTCTCTCATCATTAAACTTGATCAGGTTAGAAAGCTCCTCCTTTCAATGACACCACGATTCCTCAGATAGAAATGTTTCTTTTCCAAAACCAATAAGCATTACAGTATTTATCATATCCTATAATTTATTACAGTGTATATGAAATGTTACTTCATTTCAGTAAACGTTACTTCATTTCAGTAACAACTCTAAATGGGCACAAAGTGTTAAACTTACTTTAGTATTCACCATAATCTTACAACACGAAATACATAAGAATAATAAAAGCAGCATTGCAGGCAAGCAATATTTCGTTAATCCTCTTTATTTTCTTACCTGTGGGATCCCAAGTTAAATTGTGTGCTATTGATTCCAGAAAAAATTGGCCACTCTTCTGCCACTGACTATAATATTCCTAAAATTAGAAAAAAATCATTTAGATAATTATGATGAGCATCTTTTGTATGAAATGTGTATGTTCAGGCTTATTATTATAATAATACATGCAGTCATTTTTAAGAACGAAGTGTTCAATTCATTCAGAATAAGAGAATATATGATGGAGATTACTGAGAGAATACCCAAAACTCTTTCTTTAGCATAACCACCAATAAAGCACATGTCATCTTATATAACCTATCTTATTAACCTCAGACCAAATTATTATTTTTTTATAGTTATGGTCAAAAGTTTAATTTTAAATATTTGTCTGTGGTTCTGCTATTTAAACTTTTCTTAATTTTTCATCCCCATCCAAGATCATGACGGGACATGGGAAAACTGAGAAGACATATAGCACTTCCTTAATAAATACCTATATAAGGCCTAAAAATTTTTTTTTATTTTTTTTCATACCAGGGATTTAACCTAGGGATGCTTAACCACTGAGTCACATCCCAGGCCCCCTCCCTTTTTTTAATATTTAATTTTGAGACAAGGTCTCACTAAGATGCTTAGGGCCTCCCTAGGCAACTGAGGATGGCTTTGAACTCACAATCCTCCTGCCTCAGCCTCCTGAGCCACTAGGATTACAGGCATATGCCACCACACCTGGCAAAGCCTTTCTATTTATTAAAACAGTATGCTTCCGACTATTTTTGTCTACAAATCAGTAAGAAAATACACGTTGTACCATGAACCAGAACGCACACACATACATCTTTGTGTGTGTGTACATATATACACACACAAAGATATATATATACACACACACACATATACATACACAGAGAGATGTGTATATATATATGTATATATATATATATATGTATATACATATGTACACACACACACACATATATACACACAGACATACATATGAAACCTGGGGTTACCCTTACTACATATGATATACATTTTGACCTTTCAATTCATTTTCCTTTAAAATTCAAATTGTGGCCTACTAAATTGATTTCACTGTCCACCAATAGACCGAAATCCATAAATACTCAATGTAATAGTTTAGGATAACAAAGAATAGCCTAAGATTTTTATAAAAAGATCAAATTTCCAAAAGCCATGCTCAAAAATTTAGGCTCAAAGGGTCCAGTTTGTGGCACAGGAACATGAACTTTAAACCAACACCCTGGGTTATTTTGAATATGAAGCAGTACACAGAATACACTTTTATGAAGGACTGACATTATAAGAATGGCTCTTGATCAACCTGAACATCATAACCCTGTCTCAACTAGATATATATATATATATATACTGAAAGAACATCTTGCCTTCAGATGTTAAAATTCCCAGGGCAGGATCTATATACCTGTCTACCAACATTTCTGAAGTACACCTCTAGTGATGAACCAGCACCTCGAAAGAATTTTTCAGGATGTATAGAGAACATGGAATAATCTTTTTAATGAGGATGTATAGTCTCTGAAACTATATTCTAAATTATATATAGACTTGGTGTATCTTCCAATCAGATGGTGATTTTTCCATTTGATCCAGTTCTCCTCTCCTTCTCAAGTTTTTGTTCCCTTCTCTGCAGTCAGTGCTTCCTACAAATAGTCTGTTTTATTGAATATTTTACATAGTTCAACTCTTAATAATATAGCCATCTCAACATAAAATACTGATTGTTTTTCAGCTCAGCTGATTTTTAAGTTCAACATATAGTTACTGAAATATTTTGTTCTGGGTAGGGTAAACAACTTTCAAAATTTATTTTTAATACTGCCAATTTGCTAATTCATAAGGTTATAAGAGCCTCTAATACTGGATTCACTAGTAATTTATAAACACAGAAATCACTACTGTCATGTATAACTAATTAGAACAATTTTTTAAAAAATACATACAAATCAGGGAGAACTGTGGACACTCCTTCCAAATTTAAAGACAGCTATCAATTAACTCAGAGAAAATATTTTTCATTAACACAAAGAAGTAATCACACCTATACGATAGCTTCTAAATTTATTTATTCATTTATTTATTTATTGTTCCTGGGGATTGAACCCAGGAACGTTCTGCCTCTAAGCTCTATCCCCAGACTTTTTAGATTTTTTTAAATTTTGAGATAACTATTTTGAACCTAAGCAAGTCATCTTAAGAAGTTTTTTATTCAACTATGAAACTGACTAATACCTATTCAGTCTTTTTTTGTTTGCTTTATTTTGTTTTTTGGTACCGGGAATTGAACCCAGAGGAACTTGACCACTAGCTACATACCTAGCCCTTTTTATTTTGCGTCAGGGTCTCACTAAGTTGTTTAGGGCTTTGCTAAGCTGCTAAGGCTAGCCTCGAACTTGTGATCCTACTGCCTCAGCCTCCTGAGCCCATTGCATTATTTTTTCTTTTAGTAATTTTATTTTCATAAAAATAATACTTATGAATTATAATATTTATGAATTAGTTTATGAAACAAGAAGTAAACTGGTTTCAGAATGGCCAAGCCTATGAATATTTTCTCATTCGTGTTCCATTATTTTACATAACCACTGGACCCTGGGCCTGACCCAAAGAAAATGTCACAGTTCTGTTGACATAGGAAAGGGTCAGTTAGTTGATTTGCCTCTCTTCTCAAGCAATTAAAGATACTGGTTTTAATAAAATACTTCGGAAGACTTAAACACGTCTTTAGGATCTGAACTTATATCTGTGAACATGGGCATTTGACCTCAGACCTTTAGAACAAGACAAATATTAATTATCAACTACTGACATGAGGAGTCTGCAGTGCTGGTTAGGTAAAGACAAATATACCTAGTCATTCTTGACGGGGTTATTTTAAGGATAACAGATTAAAGACTATATAGAAACGGAAAGAATTAAACAGTGTTTTAGAGTAGACTAAAAGTGCTAAGGCAGGCTTCAAATTTGCAGTCCTCTTGTCTCCTGAGTAGCTGGGATTACAAGCATGTGCCACCAATTGGCTCAACAGCTGTTTTGTTGGTCAACGCATTTATTTTCTTTGGATTTCTACTGTCTCATTTTTAAAAAGAAAGGAAAAGAATAACAGCTGTTCAAAGTAGGTTAGAGGTAACTTGTGAGATAATGAATTAAGTGAAAATGCCACAAAAATTAACAAAATAATATCTGAAGGTATTTTTACTATAAAACATCTTCAAATTCTTTACATTTATACACAGTCTTTAATATGTTATCCTTACAATAACCACATCAAGAATGATGGCTAGGGCTGTGGCTCAGTGGTAGAGCACTTGCCTAGCAAATGTGAGGCACTGGGTTCAATTCTCAGCACCACATTTAAAAAAAAAAAAAAAATTATTATGTCCCTCTACAACTAAAAATGTTTTTTAAAAAAATAATGACTAAGTTATTAATCAATTTCAGAGTTGAACAAAAAAACTTCTTAAGCAGATTTGCTTAGATTCAAAGAGATAGGAAGCAGCAGAAATAGAAACCAGTCTTATGAGTCTGAACACACTGTTCTTTCAACTACACTATACCTGTCTTCTTTCATATGGCTTAAATTACTAATCTTCACTAGACACAGGGAAAATAATGTGGTTCATTTGTTATACTTAAGAGCATTAAAGCACCTATGAAATCTACTATAAATTACCAATATTTGTTACCTACTGATTAACCAGATTTCTTAACTATTTCTGAATATCAATTCCTTATAAAGAAAAAGTCATTGAATTATATTCTATATACATGATATAATAAGCACAAGAAACTAAGTTCTAGAAATGTTAAGAACCTAAAAATAAAACATGTAACTTTAAGAAGAAAATATAAATGAATGCAGATCTAAACCAACAATAAAGTCCCACATAAGGCTACACAATGGTATTTGATACTAGCAATAAAATTAACTGTCAAACTTTACGTTACTTTTTAAAATATATATTGTGAGATAAAAAATATTAGAAGAAAAAGAAGTAAAGCATTTCAAGACAATTCATTGGCATAATTTAGTATATTATAATAAAAATTTAAATATACTTTTAAGAGCAATGGGATTTAACATGTATCTTAAATTATAGTGTATAATTTATACTGGTTATTTGATGGTTGTTCAGATTTTATACACTTTTAATACTAAAGACATTTCAAATCCTGAAGGAAAAAATGATAAATTACTAACCAAATTTTTCTTTTGTTTCGGTAGATTAACTGGTTCAAAAATGGAGATAATGTTTCCACAGGATGCTGCAATCTTTTGAAAGATAAAAGAAAAAAAATTATAACTATATTAACTTACATATCAAAAGAGCAAAAGAAATAAATAATATAGTTTTAAATATGTCCATACAGACAATTTCACTAATACTTAAAAATGTCAGGTTTGAAGACCATCCTATCTGGGTTGGAATCCTAGTACTGAACCTTAGTATTATAGATATTATAAAAATACACAGGGAAACAATCTTTCTAACAGTTGTTTGTTTGTTTGTTTGTTTGTTTTTTTGTACCAAGCATTGAACCCAGGGGTCTTAACCACAGAGCCACATCTCCAGTCCTTTTTTATGTTTTATTTAGAGACATGGTCCTTTTTAAAAATTATCATTATTTAGAGACAAGTTGAGTGAGAGCTAATCTGCTGAGGCTGGCTTTGAACTTGAGATTCTCCTCTCTCAGACTCCCAAACTGCTGGGATTACAAGTGTTTACCAACCCATTGGCCTAACAGTTCTATTTTGAGGACTAAAAGTAACATTTGTAAAACACTTTGCATATATAAAATACAGAGTCAATATTAATTCTTTTCCTTATAGAAGAAAACATATCAATGTAATACTTATCAAATACAGAATCTGACAAATCTCAAAATTGTTTTTAAGGATATTTATCCTTCAAGTTTATGATTCTGTCAGTGTATGTTAAATTTTAAAAAATGAAACCTAGATTTATTCCTTTGCAAATTGCCTGAATACATTTATTTACTTACTTATTTTTGGTTGTAGGTGGACACGATACCTTTAATTTATTTTTACATGGTGCTGAGGACTGAACCCAGTGCCTCACACATGAGAGGCAAGCACTCTACCACTGAACCACAATCCTAACCCCCTGAATACATTTTTTAACATTTTGTTTTATTAGTCTTTTAAGTTATTCTTAAAAAAAAAAAATTAGAGAATGCTACAGATTGAACTCAAGAGTCTAATGCACATACTCTACCACTGAGTTACACCCCTCACTCCTGCCTTTTATTAGAATGACCAAAAAACCAAGCGTCTCCTTCATCCTAATGTGGACTAACATGTAGTTTAGTTCATCATAAAATGTAGCTTTCATTGAACATAACAAATTAGATTTCCAACATTAACCAGTTCTATCTGAGTCTGGATAATATAAAAAGTTTTTATACAATAATAAAAAGTGCAAAATTACAAAGCTAGTCAATCAGGCATGAAGAGAATGAAAAAAAACCTCAAGGATTTTTATTATTCTATAACAAAGATCATATTTGGAATATAGTAATAAATAATAAAATGTCTAAACAAGAGAAAGATGAGAGAAACTTGAAGAGATGCAGGTAACAAAAAGAATAGTAATAAAACAAATAGGTAAAAACTGCAACAATACACAATTCTTTTACCAAGATTATTTTTAGGTCCCCAATACTAATTTTTCAAACTGCCAGATTTATCAGAAATTAGGATAGTTTTTTTTTTAAAGGGAGGGGTGTAGATTCTTTTATGATAATTTTTATTCCTCACAGGAAATGTTACAGTGAGGTTAGGAGCATAGCTTAGTGATAGAACACATGCTAAGCATGCATGAGGTCCTAGGGCACACCAAAAAAATTCTAGTGGAATAGACAAACAATGTAGCTAAATATTTGAGGGAGAGGGAGGGAATGCATTGGCAAAATTCAGCCCAGTTACAAACAAGGATGTATCTATGACATATAGAGCTTTTTTAACCTTATATATTGCCTACTAGTAGGACTCACATACTGGTACTACACAGAATTGTATTTAAAATTTAAAATTTAAATTGTATTTAACCTGATCTGTATGCTCTGTTTCTTCTGTTTTGGCTTGCTATTTTATCTTCAAGGTTTTGCAAAAAGAAGTCCAGCCAAAGTTTTTCATTTCTTTTATATACTTGAAAATTAATATTACAGATTTTAGTAGTTAATCAACCTTTCAACACAAAGTTTATCCAAAAGTTACAAGGACATAACTACCTACTAGCAAAGAATGACTTTACCAAATAGTTTTTTAAAAAATTATGAAGTTATAAACAAATTTAATTTTTTTTTTATGGTGCTAGGGATTGAACCCAGGGCTTTATGCATGTGAGGCAAGCACTCTACCAACTGAGCTATATCCCTAGCCTACAAACTGAATATTCGTCATTACTTTCCCTCAATCCAATTGATCTTTAATTAAGTTTTAGACCAATTCTAAAGGTAGTATTATGCTTCTCAAATCAAATGTTATATCGTATTTTAAAATTTTATAATTACAGAATTTCTGAGACTCTCTAAAATGCTTTTTAGCAAAAAAAAAAAAAAAAAAAAAAAAAAAATTGCAGCTACCTTGTCCTTGAAACAAGGCAAGTCTAAACAGGAAAGTCATACTTCAAGATTATCCTTACAAAAACCTGATATTCAAAACAAATCTGCATATTACCACAAGATTACAAACCTTGCCTTGTTGCACTGAACAGTCTACACAACCCACTTGAATATTTCCATGTTTAGCTCCTGGTATTATCTGTAATCTTTCAAAATCGCTTCCCAGTATTACAATGTCACATCCAGATGCGTAAGCCTGAATAAAATAAAACAAAAATGATAAAAGTGTTAAGAAAGCATTATCATGTAGAATATATAGGTATTAAGTAGTGTGTTTTAAACAGAACAATTTTAAATGGTTTATTTAAAAACAAACAAACCTTTATTTGGAATTATTTCTCTTTCTTCTTATGTGTAGCCCAACAGCAAATCCTGTTAGCCCTGTCTGCAAAATGTACACCAATGATTCCACTTCTCTTACCTTCCCTGAATGCTATCAGTCTTATCTAACCCACCATCATCTTTCTCCTGCATTACTACTGATAATTGCCTGCTTCCATTCTTGTTTCCTTCGATTTCATTTTCACAGAGTAATTTCTTTTTTTTAATATTCTTTTAGTTGAAGATGAACACAATATATTTATTTATTTTTATGTGATGCTGAGGATCAAACCCAGTGCCTCATACTTGCAAGGCAGGCACTCTATCACTGAGCTACGGCCCCAGCCTCTACACTGATTTCTTTAAATGTTTATTTAGGCAATTTTCCCTGGTTAAATGCCTTGAACAGTTTCCCACTGCACTCAGAATAAAATCCAAATTCCTTATTGTAGTCAATACTCCAAATTACTGTCCTACAAATCCATGTCCAGGCTATTCTTTCTTTCTCTCAATTGGTTTCTGTCCCTACACTACCCTTCTGTTAGAGTCTGTAAACAAGTCAAAAATAACACCTGGCATTTTGCCAGGGGAATGTTAGTTCGTAAACAAGTCTGGATGGTGCCTGGCAAAATGCCTGAGGGAGTGGTTTGAGAAGTAACAAAAACAAGCCATTAAGTGTGGAGATTCCTTATTGGTTGACTGATGTATCTAGTTTATGCTAATTAGATAAGCTGTGTGGAATGTATAAATACTGCTCCTGTCCTGCAATAAACGGCTCCTACTCCTGCTGTATCAACTTAAACAAGTTGTTCGTCACCCCCAGGTTATTTTGCAGCCAGCCGGCCTTCTACACCCTTCCTTCTGTTCTTCCTGCCATCTCAAGGTGCTTTACCTGACTTTTATCTACCTAGTCTTTGTCTAGCTGGTTTCTTTTCAACATTCAAGTATCCGTTTATTTATTTTTTATTTTTTTATTTATATATGACAGTGGAATGCATTATAATTCTTATTACACATATAGAGCACAATTTTTCATATTTCTGGTTGTATACATAATATATTCACACCAATTTGTTTCTTCATACCTGTTCTTTGGATAATAATGATCATCACATTTCACCATCATTAATTATCCCATGCCCCCTGCCTTCCCCTCCAACCCCTCTGCCCTATCTAGAGTTCATCTATTCCTCCCATGCTCCCTCTCGCTATCCCACTATGAATCAGCCTCCTTGTATCAAAGAAAACATTCGGCATTTGGTTTTCACAATAGCTAAATTGCGGAACCTACCTAGATGCCCTTCAGTAGATGAATGGATAAAGAAAATGTGGTATGTATACACAATGGAATATTATTCAGCAATAAAAGAGAATAAAATCATGGCCTTTGCAGATAAATGGATGGAGTTGGAGAATATAATGCTAAGTGGAGTTAGCCAATCCCAAAAAAACAAATGCGGGATGTCTTTCTGATACAAGGATGCTGATTCATAATGGGGTTGGGGGCAGGGAGCATGAGAGCATTAGAGGAACTCTAGATAGGGCAAAGGAGAGGGAGGGGAAGAAAGAGGAATGTGAATAAAAAAGATGGTAGAATAAGATAGACATCATTACCCTAAGTACATGTATGAAGACACAAATGGTGTGACTATACTTTGTATACAACCAGAGATATGAAAAATTGTGTTCTATATGTGTAATATGAAATATAATGCATTCTGCTGTCATATAACAAATTAGAATAAATCACTAGCATAATATCAACTCATGAAGTATGGAGTAGAGTTGGTTATATCATCTTTTTTGTTTTTATTTTTGGCCATCCAGTAGTTTGTTGCCATCCAGTAGTCATAATAATAGACAGATATTCAAAAATTAAACCAGTAAGAATGAAGAATAACTAAAAGCAAAGTGAAACAAACTAATTCTCTTTTAAATGAATACTATATTTTATAGAAGGAAGGCTAGCAAGAAGGACAGAATAACTTATGAACACAGAATTTGACCAGAACACAGAAATTCAGTCTTGAGCAGGGTGGGGAGAGGTAAATAAATTCTGAGCACCTTTTGTAGGCCTGTTTATTGTAATAGCATGGACAATGCAATTACTAAATTTTTAAATGTATTATCAGATTGAGCAAATGAGCCAAGGTTTGCACTATGTTAGAAGGTACAAAGATACGAAAGTGGAAAAGGCATAATAGAGCCAGAATTTTGCCCCAAAATACTCAACAAAATGTGTCCATGAGTACTCCAGAGATATGTACAAGAACATTCACTGCTCTATTCATAATAGTGCCAAAGTAGAACCAATTCAAATACTATCAACAATGGAATGGACAATAAATTGTAGCATAATCACACAATGGAATACTCTAAAGTAATGGTTCTCAAACTTACTTGTCTCAAGAATCCTTTTTACTTGGGGTTGGGGTATAGCTAAGTGGAACAGTGCTTGGATAACACTTGTGAGGCACTGGGTTCAATCCTCAGCCTCACATAAAAATAAATAAAACAAAGGTATTATGTCCATCTACAACTAAAAAAAAAAATTGTTTTTAAAGTTTCAGGAGATGGAGGATGGACTCTTAAAAAAAAAAAAAAAGAATTCTTTATACGTAGAAATGTACTGAAGCCAGTCACTTCACCCATTAGCTTTATTTTTTGTGAATTATCTTATCAATATTTACTCTTGGAAATTAAAACTAAAAAAAACACAATACATAGTATTCCATTAATCTCCAGGTAGTGCCTTTGGAAAACTACACGGATACATGCGAGAGAAGTAATAAATAAGTTTGGCATTATTATGAAAATGACTTGGTCATTCGGACCCTCCAAGAGGATCTTACCACAGACTGCTCTTTGCCACTGCTATGTAGCAATTTAAAAAATTATTTTTAATGTTAAGAATATGAATGAATTTTACAATGATGCATTAAAAAATCAAGACATAATTATGATTTTGTTTACTCAGAGTCAAGAAACAAGTGAAATCAATCTAGGGTGATAGAAATCAGGATAGTAATTATTACTTGGGGAACAATGATTAGGAGGGAGAATAAGTGGGTGCTCTTATAAATTATAATATTTTATTTATCAATTTAGTCATTTCATATAGAGGTCGACTTTGTGAAAATTCAATAAGATAGGTCCTTATGATTTCTACCCTTTACTGTAAAACTGTAAAACATGTCTTCAGTAAAAACCCTAAGAAAAAAAAATCTCATTCTCAAAATCAAAGTCATTTTTATACTTTTTCACTTAGTCTCACTTTTTCCCAAAATGGAAAGTACAGTTGTTCACTAAATTTTAAAATGTGGTTCATCCAGATAAACTTAAAAATGAAAAAGAAACCCATCTTATTTAAAATGTAACAGTATAAAGGGTCTACTGAAACTATAATTTCAAAATTCATTTCAACCATACCACTGTACTAATGCTAACCCCAACGGATAATATCCACAATATACTGAAAAGGGCAATTTTAGTTTTTATTTTTAAACTGTTTTAGGCAAGGAAGGAATTCATACTTTATTCCTCAGAGCATGATGCAGCATGTTGATAAAAGATTTTATGTGCAGTAATTAAAGCTGGATCTCAGAAAAGCCATCCCTTTTTTACTTCATGTTAGATAAAAACACCCACTAAAATGTATAGCAGTCTTTCTGGCCCCTCCTCTTCCTCCCAGTTTTAGTCATAATCCCACCAAATTAAATTTTAGAGGACTGAGATTTACAATTCCCATATAACATTCCTTCTAAACACTCTCATTTTCAGGCTCTAAACCCACTATGTCCCACATGCATCCCAAGTATGCATATTGATACAAGCTTGATATAATTTATCAAATTGCTGGGGAAAAGACAAGAAAGAAAATACTAAAAACAATTTTTGAAAAAAAAATATACATCATAGTATAAAGGTGTATTAAGAATTGTAAGGCAATAATAATAATAATAAAGCTATTGTAACAAATAAATAAAGAGATCAGAGACCAAAAAAATTAAAAATAAAGTAGCATTTACTATTAAAAATATATATGTATATATACATCCATATATATATATATATACATCTATATATATATATATACATACATATATACATATATATATTTACACACACACGTTTCTCTTCCCTCTACCTCTCAAATGAAAAGTATTCAGGTGTCTGTGGGGAAATAAAAGAAAGTAAATCTTTTCTCCCTCCTGCAAAAGAGGTTCTATTTTCTAAAAAAAAAAAAAAAAAAAAAAAAATCCCCTGCACCCCAGGTACTAAGGATTGAACCCAGGAATGCTTGTTCTACCACTAGGCTACATTTCTAGCTTTTTTTTTTTTTTTTAATTCTGAAAAGGTCTCATTAAGTTGCCCAGGCTGGCTTAGAACTTGTGATCCTCCTTCCTTAGCCTCCCAAATAGCTAGATTTACAGGTTTGTGTCACTGTACTACATCATTTCTTATCTTTTGTTCATGTGCTTCTTTTCTGGTAGCTTCACATACCAGGAATAACAACCGACACATTTTAACATAAATACCAAGTCCTCTTGGTAGGTCTGTCCTTATGCTTCCCAGTAAAGAGATTCTATTTTCCTGACAAACTCCTAAAGTGGAGAAACTATTCAAGGCCAAAGATAAATGGCACAGCTATTCCAACACAAGCTCCCAGGTCTTCCCACAGAGTCCACTGTATGTGATTTTTTCCAAATTACTGCTGAAGGGGTTTCCCAAAATGACTGTGATGTGATTAGGGATTATGGTGACCATACAAATCTAGCGTTTCTGTAAGTTATAGAAAACCAACAAGAAAAGGACAATGAGACAGCCAATATACAAACTCCAACAACTGTTTTCAATATTCAATTACTGACAGGG